CTTGACTCCGCGCAACATCCCATTTGCTGCGACAGGGCGAATTGTGTCCTTCCCCACCCGTTCACGTCGCTTGCAGCAGTAGCTGTGCCGCATCTCTTCTCCACGATTGCCGATGTCCGAGGTGACGACATACCACGTGGATCGTGCGCGTGAGCTTCAACATTCTAGGAACCCTAGGTGTCGCATCTCGTACCGCGAGACACCGGAAGCTTAATATACGCCCACACGTACTACTGTCGACTGGACGCTACTTTACATCCAGTGACTGCCTAATAATGCGCAATCAACGGTAGCCGAGCTCGATAACTTCTATGCGCGGTATCCTCCCTGGGCGACCCCAGGCTAAGCTCCAAGCTGTCGCTCATGGCCTGTGGGAAGGCCTCCAGATAATCGTATGACTACACCTTTGCGACGCGCACAAAGACTGACTTGCGCTTCGTGTAGGTTTACATCTCCGGTAACGCGCTGATCATCCTCGATCGACCCAACCACGTCCTCCAAACCATCTACATCGACGAAGAATTCGAGCTTGAGGCAGTCGCGATCGACGAAGGCACCGGCAAGCTCGCGGCATGTTCGACGCGACACATATATATATACCGGCCATATGGGCAAGATGAGGGCGCGATCAAGGTGGGCACACAAGGAGGGGCTGCTAGGATGACTGCTGATATGCGCAGTGGTCGCAACAGGGCAGCACGTCCCTGCCTGACGCCGATGATACGATAACGACCCTTTCATGGGGCATGCCAGACGAATTGCTTGTCGGCAGCGCATCCCTCACTCTCTTCAACACCCACAGCGACATCGAACGGATATGGACAAAGCAGCTAGCGAACCCTGTCAAGTTCGCCCACTTCTCGCCTGATGCCGAGTTGATAGCTTCGACAGGCAGGTACGACCGCCTCCTCAAGATATGGCGACGCACATCCTTCGGTTCCGCGGATCAGAGTTTCGACTACTTCTACCTCCCACACCCCAAGGCCATCACAGGCTTGCATTGGCGGCACCCGTACCACAAAGACCAGTCCACGGACAACGTACTATACACAATATGCGCGGACCAAAAGGTGCGAGTCTGGGTACCAGGAGAGCATCACGGCGTAGACGGCATGCACATGTGGGCTGAGGTGGACCGAGTCGAGTCGATAATGTCACGCCATGTGCCACTGGAGCAACAGTCGAAGAAGCGATATGCCTTCTTCATCGACGGCAAGCACTTTACACACGCGACGGAAAGAGCGATGCAACAGGCTTCGGCAGAAGAGAAAGACCACGGCATCGCGCTGCATCACCTGATAGAAGTCGCGAACCGCAACCCGGAGATATGCGTTGTGCTGGATGATAGAGGCAACATGTCTGCGTGGGGTTTTGAGAACGTAGGGGCAAAACAGAAGAAGGTCACCGACGTCTTCAATATTGCGCATGTCGATGGACTGCATCTGCACTTCGCAAAGGAACCGAAGCCCATCGAGGACAATGTACAATTCTACGCGTTCATCGACGACAAACCCGACTCCGAGTTGACCCTGCTATCGCATCACTTTGACGGGCGAATCGAGTGGCTAGAGTCGCGCATCGACTATTTGTTCGACCCTTCGTTACAACCACAACGCATCCAGCGCAAGGCTATGTGGACAGGACATTCGCATGCCATCAAGAAGGTCAACCGCACAGCCAGTGGAAGAGCTTTGGTATCACGGACCACAACAGATGAATGCATTGTATGGCTACAGCGGCAGAGCGATCAGGGCATGACGTTACATCGACACTGCAGCGTCAAAGTGACGGAGCACATCCATCGTACTGCTCTCTTGCAAGAGGGTAACTTCATTGTCTTCCTACACCATGACGAGATATCGCTTTGGGATACCCGTGGTCATGAAGCCGTTGAGATGACACGGCTCGCATACAAACTCCAGGGCAAACCTCTGTGTCTACTAGTGATACCTGAGGTCGAAGTTGGCGGACAGCGCATACACATTGCCACCATCAGTTCCGAGATGAAAGGCATCTGCTGGGAGGTCACACTGCCAAAACCGGAGCGAGATGCACTTGCGGGCGAGGAACAGCCTGCCATCGCGCACACCAATGGCTATGCCAACGGTTATTCAGAGATCACGCTGAAGGAGTTCTCCACATTCAACCTTGGATCTGGCGACGACCTTGCCTTTGTGCTGCCTGTAGACCCCGCTGGCACAGCACCCGTCATCTCGGGTTTCCTTGACACCTTTGCGCGAGATATAGCCATCTCATACACAAAATCCGGAATCATCAAGTCCTGGACCGCGCGTGTCAACATCGAAGACCGAAAACTGGACTGGCTGTTGACTTCGGAGGTCGAGACTGGCGTCAAGAACCCATCACTTGCTAGTGGCACGTCGATACGTAAGGCTGCGTTGGCCGATGCTGATCGAACTACGCTCACTATATGGAACACCCGAAGCGCCCAGTTGGAACATGAAGAGACATTCGAAGGCAGCGGAAGCATCCAGGATCTCGACTGGTCTTCTACTCCCGACAACCAGTCCATACTTGCTGTTGGCTTTCCCCACCGTGTCGTCATCTACGCCCAGCTGCGATACGATTACCTCAACGCCGGCCCATCCTGGGTACAGATCAGTGACGTGCGCATTCGCGACATCACGCCACATCCGATCGGCGATTCAGTGTGGTTAAGCAGTGGTAATCTGGTCATTGGTGCAGGTAACCAGCTTTTCATTCAAGATGAGCATGTCCAGGTGTCTGAAGGGCTATTCCCTAGCTTACGTACCATCTCACGGAAGACGGCATCTATCGATATCTTCGATGCAGTCAGCAGACTCAACGGCCCTCTACCTGCGTACCACCCCCAGTTACTTTCACAATGCGTCTTGGCCGGCAAGTTACTACTGGTGCAGCGCATTCTGATCAGGCTTTACACTACACTCAAATTCTGGATCGAAGGCGAAGAGCTTGACAGCTCGCTGGGATTCGCACCTGAAGACTTTTCAGAAGCTGAGGCACGTACATGAACCGCTCTAAATAGATGTAACTAACCTCTGCAGACTCAAATGACTGCATCTCGAAAAGAGGTACATTCATCATACGCCGATTTCTCTAACGATAGCGAGCCTGAAGCAGTCACCGAAGAAGTCGCCTCTAGTCTCAAAGAGCTCCTGACCACTAAGCGGATACCGCTCTTGACTAGTCGTGAACAGTTTCGCTTGGCCGACATCATCGAGTGCATTGGTATGGTAGAGAAGCATCGTCGATCCATTGACGACAACGCTGGTCGCTTCTTGCTGTTCTTCCGACAGCATGTGCTGAGTGAGACACACAAGGGACCCATCTCCTGGCGCGAGATCATCTGGGCGTTTCACTCAGGAAGTCAGGATATTCTTGTCGACCTTGTCAGCAGACACTTTGGCGGGAAGATGATGTGGCAGCACGCAAAGGAGTGTGGAGTGTTCATGTGGATGTCCGACATCAACGCATTGGTACGGTACATTCTTCCTTGTCGGTTAAAGTTGCTAACGACATCTACAGCGCGCCCAATTTGAGGTGATCGCTCGGAACGAGTACACGAAGACCGACGAAAAGAACCCTGTCGACTGCGCCCTATACTACATGGCCCTCCGGAAGAAGCCAGTTCTAGTCGGTCTTTGGCGAATGGCTACTTGGTCGAGAGAACAGGGCGCAACACATCGGCTCTTGTCGAACAACTTCAACGAAGACCGCTGGAAGACCGCTGCACTCAAGAACGCGTACGCATTGATGGGTAGGAGAAGATTCGAGTATGCTGCGTCGTTCTTCCTACTTGCAGATCATCTACAAGATGCTGTCAGCGTTCTCCATAATCAGCTTGGTGATACCCAGCTCGCCATAGCAGTTGCCCGCGTCTACGGTGGTGATGACTCACCCATCTTGCTGGACTTCTTGAGAGACAAGATCCTACCACAGGCCGCTAGAGAGGGCAATCGATGGCTCGCAACATGGGCATACTGGCTATTGAACAAAAAGGACATGGCCGTTCGCTCGCTGGTAACACCGCTGACAACTCTACTTGAGACTTCCGAACCCCCAAGTTCAGCCGCTAAATCGTACCTCACCGACGACCCCGCCTTGGTAGTCCTGTACAAGCAACTCCGCGAGAAGTCACTCCAAACCTTACGCGGAGCCACAATGATAGGCATGCGCGAAGAGTGGGACTTTGTGCTACACACCGCTGGCCTATACGACCGCATGGGCTGCGATGTCCTCGCCCTCGATCTAGTCAAGACATGGGAGTTCCTACTGCCACCACCACCAACAAAAGCAACGTCCGGCCGTCCACCGCTAAGCCCCTCGATGCCACGACAGAGCTATCAATCGCAAGGGAGGAATCAATCTGCGACGGACTTTGACTTTGATCCCAGGAAATTACTTCGCAGGAGAAGTTCGCTTGTTATTGCCGATTTACCGGTACGAGAGCATGCTCATAACGATTTGGCGGAAAGCAAGGGCACGCTGGAGGAAAGTAGGGAGAGTGATGAAGAGGATGGCGAGGAGGATGGTGAAGAAGAGGGGGAGCAAGAGGATGAAGAGGATAAGAAGAATGATGAGAAGCCTAAGGAGGAGCCGAAGAAAAAACCGCCGCCGACTCAGTTCAATGAGCCGGATGCGAATAGTTTGTTGGATGCTTTCGGGTTTTAGTAGAGCTGGTTGGTTGGTATATTGTGGTGCTTCTACGAAGGTTTCGGGATAGTGGCATGGCTGGGTGTTCTGAGCGGTACTTGGTAGGTATAATAGTTGGTGCATGTATTTTGCACGTGGCTGCCAGTATCAAATCTCAGGCCTTGTTGTTTTATTCGAGATTGACATTGTGGAAAACGATGTAGATTGTAATCACCGCTAGTACTGTCAAAGATAGGTAAACCAATGGGCATCATTACACAGTATGTCGTACTCAACAGTACTGGGACCTAGCTGGGTTACAGTTTGCCAAACGAGTGTTCCATCTCATCCCTCAATGCCATAAACTAAACAAAGAACGCAGCAGCAGCAGCACCAAGTCCAGCCAACAGCGGCGCACTCCTAACCATCGGCGCGCCAGCCTCCGTCACCTCAGGCACGGGCGCAGTCCCAGATGCACCTGTCGCGTCTGTAGAAGCACCCGTAGACATAGCACTTGACATTGTCGGTGTAGCCGCAGCAGTAGCTTCCAACTTCTCCGTCCCCGCAGTGATAACAAGGTAGTAAGTCCCGAACTCTGTTCCTGAGAGCTCCCCTACGGAAGTATAACCTTCGTCAGGCGTACCACTCTCACTGCAAAAGGCTGACCGGGTACCAGTCGAGATAGCAGAGCCATAGCCATAGCTCAAAGTCTGCCTGACTGTCTCTGTACCTGCAGGCTCTGACCCGCGCGCAGGGAAGGTATGTGTTCTTGACCAGACCCTTTCACTCGTAGAAGGGTAAGTGGGGTTCTCGCAGAGTTGCCGAGCGATTTCTGGGGGGTACGACACAGTACATGTACGGTTCGACCCTACTTCTTCGGGGGTCGGCCAGGAGCAGTCGAGTGAGTAGGTGTCCTCCTCCTCATCGCCACTAGCAGCAAGGCCAATGTTGATCTTTGTTCCGTAAAAGTCGGGGCCAATGGTCAAAATCTGGGGAGTATCGGCAGCGAGGCTCAGAGCGGATGTATCGGTGCCTTCGTCGTAGTCAACAGCAACGGTGGTGTGAGTTCCGTTGGCGTCGATGACGGAGCCGACGAAACCGATGTTGTCTGTTCCTAGCCCATAGATGGGCATCCAGAAGGAGGTTGTGACTTGGGCTGATGCGCTGGCTGCGAACAGCATGGTTGAGAGGAGGGGTGCCATTGTGGTGGTGGTGGATGCAGGTGTAGTGAAAGATGATTCGTGATACGCACAACACAAACCTTTTCCTAAGAGGTGTTTACGTCCCTTTAAGCATCGTAGGGTTATAGTAGGGCATCCTCACCGGTTAGCCAAGCCCAGGGCGCAGTATCTTGGCTTGGACGGTTACAGCGGCTATCATCTCAATGGGTTGGCGTTCTGCTCAAATGACTGGAATGTGGCGGAAAACCTTCTGTGTTGGTATACCACACATTGGCGCTGGTGGCCTGATTTACAACAGAGCCTAAGTAACTCGGGTCTCGTGTGCATTTCATGGTGATTGGCCTGCTTAGCGATGCAATTGCGGCTGTGCCTGGCTGTCACGGCTGTATAATCCGGGGGCGCGATGAGTGGAACTCGCATGGATAAACGGCAGACATCATCCGTTGTGTTAGCGATGTGGTTCAGTGACTTAACGACTAACCTGTTGTGAGGCCTCTGATCGGTGTGGCATACCAAGATCGCTTGCCTTACAAGCCAAGACCTATAGGGGGCTGTGAAAAGGTCGTCCCGTGTAACCTCGACCCGAAGCATCGCAGCAACACTCTGCTAACTTCGATGGGGCGACACAACTTTTGATGGCGACCTTTTCGTCGAATTGTGAGTGCGCCTCTTTCCCACGCGCCGTGAACCCTATCACGATTCGAACAAAGCCGTGCAATCATAACAGCGCAGAGAATAGGGGTTGGCGAGTCTTCGAAACCCTAACAGCGAGCTGATTGGTGAGCAAAGTCACACTCGCTCGCAGCATTGAGCACTTCATGTCGGAGATGGAAGTGAGGACGTTCTCATCAACGTCCGTGAAAATCGAACTAGCATGACACTGATAGACGAATAATGTGTGCTAGTAGCGGCGTGGTGTTCGAGAGGTTGATGAGTAGCTGTGTCATTGATTTCTGGTAGATGGTGCTCGGTAGCCCAGCAGGACTGAGCGTCGCGTGATCGGAAAGTGGGTCCGCCTCGTTCGGCTTGAAGGTATTGCCGAGTGCGCGTCATCGCGCCGGATTGGTAATCCATCTCAACACGCGTCGAATGAAGGCGATATAGTGTGTAACGTCGCACTTCAACACCATATACTTACCACGATGCCTTCTCAACGCGACTTAGAGGGCGGTAGCGTGCTAGACGAGCGCGCGCCCTTGCTCTCGCATGATGCCGCGCGTCAGCACACGCCCACACCATCGGAAAGCGACGAAATCATCGACCAGCCGGAAAAGGCAGCGTCCAAGACCTGGTATTATATTTGGAGAGGCATTCTTGCCGTCTTCGCGATACTGGTCGTTGCTGTCTTCATCAAAGGCTGGATAGAGGCCGATGACGTCGATGTACGTTCCTATGCACTGTCGCGGCACATGCAAACTTCAAAAGCTCACATCATGCGTAGTTCGATCTCAAGGGCGCATTGAAGCGTGCATTGGGTGGGGGTTTGAGTGGTGCTGCGGCGATGATACTGCAAGTGTTGCTGTTGATGCCCATCCGTACGATCATGAACTACCAATATCGCCACGGAACATCAACGACTGTCGCGACTAAGACTCTGTATGCAGACGGTGGTATAGGCCGATACTACCAAGGCATGGGTGCTGCACTCTTCCAGGGGCCCATCGCTCGATTCGGAGACACAGCCGCCAACGCTGGTATCCTGGCCTTGCTGCAGTCCAACGGCTTCTTGAAGCAGCTTCCATCACCCATCCAGACAATCTTTGCATCGGCGTGCGCTGCAGCTTTCAGGATGCTACTAACACCAATCGATACCTTGAAAACTACCTTACAGGCCCAGGGTGCTAGTGGCTGGGGTCTACTCCGGCAGCGCATTAGGACCGACGGCATCGGCTCTCTGTGGTGGGGTGCTTTTGCGACCGCAGCAGCGACCTTCGTTGGACATTACCCCTGGTTCGCCGTCTACAACTTCCTCTCTGAAACTATAACAGAGCCATCGAGACAGCAGATCGGATGGTGGTTACTACGGGCGGCTTTCATCGGTTTCTGCGCTTCGGTCGCTTCGGACACAATATCGAACTCGTTACGCGTTGTGAAGACATATCGACAGGTCAACGATACAAGGATATCTTATACTGAGGCTGCCAAGCAGGTCATCCGTCAAGACGGCAGATTGGGTCTATTTGGGCGCGGATTGAAGACGAGAATCATCGCCAACGGTCTGCAGGGCATTCTATTCTCCATCCTGTGGAAGCTGTTCTTGAAAATCTGGGAAGACAAGACGGGTTGAGCGCGACTGCGATTGGGCCGACATATTTGAGAAAAATCAATTTCGGCTTGACTACTGCAGTGTGCGACTCATACGTACAACGAGACCTCTTTTTCGACGCGCAACACCGTCGGCGACATTCGTACTGGGGCCAAAGGTACCGGCTTAGACATCTCCGTATCCGATACTAATCCTGATCACCTCATTTAACTCGCTTCGTCTTCTTCGCCGACATATCCCCCTCATCTTTCTCATCCCGCTTCCTCTTCGGTGACGGTCGCCTGCTCTTCTTCCCCTCAGCATCCAGGGCCGCATTCTTACCAGCCTCGGTCGGGTCGTCAACCGCAACCGACTCATCCACCTGAAACTGCCTCAGCTCGTCCTCTGTCACATTCGGAACAAACAAAACACCGCCTGTCTTCCCTTCTAGAAGTCCTCTCATGTTCTTCCTCTCTGTGGCAACCTTGCTAACCCTGCCATCGAGCTTTCCCCGGATGGATGACACGTCGCGCTGTGGTCTAGAAGGTGCATCAGCACCGTTCGCGTCTTTGAGCACCTTGCCTTCGAAGAAGGCGTTGAAAGCTTCCATCACGGAGACTGGACCGGGGATTTTGATGACGTGGCCCGCATCGATAGTTGCGCGCAGCTTTCGGTGGAAGAGCGTCATCCAGGCGTCCTCCAGTGGTGTGTACGGGTATGCAGCCTTCTTGGTGCCAATCCCATGTTGCTTGAAAACGTCGGTGCGCCATTGTGTTATCGCGACGATCTGGGGCTTGGACTTCCAGTCGATGTCATCCAGCTCGACATCGGTGTACGTGACTGTCTTGGACTCACCGGTCACGTTGTTGTGGAGCTTGATCGTAAGCTTGTGGACCGACTTGTTGCCCGTCCGCGGGGCGTCGATGTTGCCGTCTACCACCTCCCATCCGCTAGCTTCATCCGAAGAGGAGGCAGGGCTGGAGCTTCGCTCAGCTTTAGCGTCGACCTTGAGGTTATTGCGACCGGTGTCTTTCATCAATGTGTCTCCCGTGGCCGGCGGCTGGGCGGATGTCTTGGTAGACTTCTTTGGCGATGGCAAAGACTTTCCAGGTCCCGCGGACTTGCCAGGCGAGGAGCCGAAGACAACTTTGAGTTCCTTCTTCTTCGTTGTCTTGAGTTTGGTTTGACCACCTGTCTTCTTGTTCTCCGTCGCAGAGTCAGACTCATCCCCGTCCTTGACGTTGTTGATGTAGTTCAGGTAGCCATTGTGCCTGAAGTACTTCTCGTCCAGTACATCGTCGGTATCATCCGGCTCTCTCAAAGGTTTCGCATCGTCAGCAGGATCAGATGGGAAATCCGCCACCGAGTCTTCATCGCCTTCGTCGGGTAAGTAGCCTTCGCGCGCTGCCGAGGGCTCGTCTGTGGGTGTCTCTTCGCTGAAGTCTTCGTCGAAGTCTGGATTGTTGATCGACCGCCATCCCGTCTTCGTCTTGTAACCAGCGGGGTTCCACGAAGATTTGTCTATGGTTATCTCCTGGCTGGGGTTCTCGCCGAACGCTGGGTCGTTGATGGAATTCCATCCGGATGTGGTCGGGAAACCAGCAGGGTCCCACGAAGACTTGTCTATGGGTTGCCATCCTGGGTTGGGAGACGCCTCTGGCTGCCGAGGGGACGACCGCATTTCCGCCGGGATCATCAGTGCCTCCAATTCCTCCAAGTCTTCATCCTCGTCCGCTGTCTCATGGTGGTCCGTCTTCTGAATAGGCGTTGCCTCCTCCTGCCCACCAGTTTCGGTCGTATCGCGGTCTCGGAACTCGGGGACGTGGGTTGTAGCGCGAGGGAGTGGAATGTTGCCGGCGATGTCAGCGTGACGCGAAGAGCGTGTAGGACTCCTGACAGCATTGTCAGTCTGGTCGAAGGCGTCAACAGAGCTACCGGTCGCGCTGTATTCTTCCTGCTCGATGCGCCCCTGTTCAATGTCTTCTACAAAGGTGCGAATCCCTGTGTGGGGTGGAGATGACGGCGGCTCCATATCAAGATTTGCGGTTGGTGTCTGGTCCATGGTGTAAGTTGTGATTGTGGTTGGGGTGGAGCAGTTGCGCTGGTGGTGTGATTTGCGGTCGGAGTAATGGGCAGTCCGAGTTGCAATGACTGTGAAGTTGAGTGATTCGGGAGGGCCGCGGCTGGGACGATGGTGAACGAATGCTCTGGTAGGTCATGCTCTATGCGAGTAGGACGTGGTGGACACCCCTTCCTTGTTTATGTCAGCACGCCGAACCACCGCACGGTTCTGGAGATGTATCGGAGCTAACCGTTGACGAGACCGGCGTAGAGGTCACCCATCAGCTTGGCACTGATTAATGCCGCTGCTTACGCTTGATCTCAATCTCGACATCTTCTCGACGCCTCCGAACACGACCGCTGCACAGCGCCCCCTACGCTGTGCGCTCACACTTCGCTTGTACGCACCTCCGAGCGCCGTATCCGCATCCAAAGACACCCGTTGCATGCGCTGAACAAAACTTCACAGACGCCATGGCCCCAGCCAGCAGCAAGAACCACCCCCCTTGGGCGACGACTGAGCAGACCTCTGCGCTGAGAGCCCACGTCGTCCTTCAGCGGCACAAAATGGTGGTACCTCCAAAGATCCTACCAGACGACGTTGAACGCGCCATTCAGATCCTGGATCAGCACGACCCGTCGACAGCGAAAGCGGATGCTAAAGACCTCGAGCCAATTGATTACGCCAAATACGCGATCAACGACCACTTGCGGCCAATGGCTCTCGCAGCTGGCATGCACAACCTCCATCAAGAAGGAATAAAGAAGGGTAATCTAGTCGACCTACTGACAGACTGGGATTTACAAAACGTCCCGCTTATAGCGGCTCTGCTACCGCGCTCGGACAAGGCCACTAAACCCGCCATCCCTAAGAGGGTTGTTCCAACGCAGAAGAAGGCCGAAACGGAGCCAGCGGAGTCGAAGAAGCGCAAGGCTGTGCCGACCAAAGTCACAGCATCCAAGAAGCCCCGGAACAATGCCAACGATCCTCCAGAGGACCCCGACGTCGCAACGAAGGACCGAAGCGAATCAGATGGCGGCGATTCCCTCCCACAAACTGCTATCGAGGGCAGCACATCAACTCGAACACCGGCTCAGGCGCGAACGCGTCTACGCAAGCCTCGAAACGGTCAGTCACTTGCCGCCAAGACGTACCTCGAAGCAGACAGGGGCATGGCTGCACTGTCGCTGAGGGAGTTTGGGGAAGACAAAGGCAATAGTACGGACGATGCATTGACCCACAAGCGCGAAGAAGACGACAAGAGGCTCGAGGCTGAGGTTGAAGAGGTGCAAGTGCCAGCTCCAAGGCGACATGGCACTAGAAGCCAAGCGGGTGGGCGCGGCAACGGCAAAAAGAACACTACTACTACTACTGCTGCGTCTATTCCAGCCCGAAAGAGGAGGACTGCCGAACAGGTCGCGGAGGACAAACGCCTCGAGGAAAAAGAGGAGGAGCAAAAGTTGCACAATGCACGGCGGCTTGGTGGCTACTCCGACCCTGAACTCGCCGAGACCTTTCGCGTCATGCATAAGACGGTTCTGGTCCCGATGCATGGCCAGATGCAGGAAGGGGTTGAGCCAGTGCCGACTGATCAGCTAGGCATGCGGGAGTTAAGGGAGAGGCTCGTTGATGAGGCCAGGAAGGAAGGACGCGTAGTGGAGATGTAGATTGACGGAGGAGCATCACCACATCACTTGTCATGAACAGGACATCGAGAAGATGTCCTCAAACGTTGAGGCTTGGGATTTCTTTGTCTTGCGAGAGGTATATAGGGCGCGACGAAAAGCCATGCACTTCTTTGGATGTACTGACTTTCTCTTTGTCTCTGAGTTCCACATTTCGGGACAAAGAATTAGGAAACCGTTCTTATGTTCGGCGGCTGTATCAGCAATGGATTGCGTCTTCATACAAAATTGATTGCGAACATCACCTCCTTTGCCACAAAAAGATCTTCTCGTGCAAGCCGACAGTCAGCTTCAGTGATGCCACCGAAAGGCCGTGGCAATGATGCCAATGATGCCGATGACAACTCGCAAAGTCCACCCAATGAGAGACGGCCAGGGTTACGAAGCCGATCCAAGTTAAAGACCACAGCCCGCAACGACGACACCGTCCAACCACCCTCGTCTCCAATCAACAGGCCCGCTGCGGCAGGAAGCTCAGCAGTACCAACCAATGAGATACAACAGAAAATTAACGACAAGCAAAAGTCTCTTCAAAACGAACTTCAGAAAATAAGAAAGGCGGCAGAAGACTCGGGCTCACGAGAGAATCAACAGACACGCTTAAAGGCCACCATATCGTATGAAGACTATCTCTACTATCAAACACCAGAGTACAGGAAGCAATACCGCGAAGACATCGATGCCGCCGTCAAGGACAGAGCGAAACTAGCTTTTGCGAAAGGCCATGCTCCTGCAAGACTGACGGATGACAAAACGTACGACAAAAAACTAAGGAAGTACCTGAAGGACTTCGAAAATAACGGAGTAGGTATGCTCCAGAATCTACATTGGCAGAGCATGCTGCCCGATCAGCTACGTATGCGTACTCCAAGGGCGGAAAGATTCCCGGTGGGTCTAGGAGAAGAGTTTGGAGGGGTGTCAATCGAACCTTACAACTTATTACTCGACACCGACGCAATCGAGAAGAAAAGAAAGGAGGTGGAAGACAAGAACAAAGATCCCAAGATGAGCGAATCTCACTCCGAACGACGGGCACGCGAGACGGGGCTCTCGGAAGGACTACCGATAGATAGCCATGTTAAGGACGCATTATCAACATCCAAAGATCTTGGCAGGACGCGACTGAAGAGTGGTCTGTTCATTGCAGCGGGCGAGACATGGGACGACTGGAAGACCTTGCACGAACGCGAAGCACCGGATGGGCTTTACGACGAACTGATCGAGGAGGAGATGCCAGATGATGACAGCGACTCTAGTGACGATGAGAACGACTTGTTTGCAATCAGTTACCGCGAGTGCAGTGGTTTAGCAGGTTGTCCCCGTGGTGGCGGTGGTGGTGATGATGATGATGGCGGTAGTGATGATGATGGCAATAGTGAAAAGGGGGAAAAGAAAGACACCAATGATCCAGGAGCACCAGCCAACCCTGCTGGTGGGCCGCCAACTGGGTCCGAACCTCGACCTCAATCGCCAAGAAAGAAAGCGAAAAAACATGACTACACGCAATACAATCGCCCACAAGTCCGTACAGCTTTGAAGTATCGAGAGCAAGCTCAGAGTGCTCAGTATGTTACGGAGCTCCACAAGCGTGCTAATGATTATGACGACAACCCGAAACAACCTGGTACTATTCATCACTATATCCTGAAGGATCGGAGTGTCGCAAATCGTCTTGAGAAAAGGATTACTGAACTGGGTGAAGGTTGGTCGAATGAATATAAAAAAGAACTCGATGAGCAGAATAAGAATGGCGAACAAGTAGATACTGACGTATCCGAAGAGAACTCTCCCGCGTCAACCGGGAAGGGGAAAGCCGCCAGCAAGGCCTCTCTACGTCGACCGTGAAAGCCGGAAATAGCGTAATGGTGGCAAGAAGACATCTAAATCTAAGAAAAAGAAGAAGACGCAGCCAAAACGTAAGAGCAAGAAGTAGAACCCTTCGCTTATCTTTTCGATATTTGGCGAAAAGGACGACAAGAAGGAGCGTGGGCGTGTAGGTGCAAGCTTGGACTGGGGTCACAGCCGGTGCATGGCATGGAGATGCATGCGATGCTCTTCTCGCGCTCGATCTCGCAGTCTGCTAGAATAGACCAAACTTAGTATAGTTCTCACAATTTCAGCACGTTGTGCTTCTTCATAGCGCGCGCTTTGCTTTGAGCAATCAGTTTGGTGTGAGTCGCGAAAGCAACTTATATATTCCTTAACTGTTAACTTACTACAGTATGCAACTTAATATTCTAGTTCCCTTCTATTCTATCTATAGTACTGTAATAACGCAGGGTAAGATAAGCTACTTATAACTTCTAAAATACATAACTACTATATACACAAAAGGTACTTCTTATTAAATAAGAGACATCGCAATTTTCAAAGTCTGAGCAATTAGTTCGAGACATGGACTACGCCAAGAGCCGAGTAAAGCTCAAGTCCTGTTGTATCTGACTGCCGCAGTGTTCCGCGACGCTGCTGGTCGTTTGGAAGCTTATACAGAGCAGAAGCTTTCGTGGCTCACACTGTGGTCGAACATACTGTTGTCGAACATTGATTGATGACGTACCCCCAATCCGGTTAGGGTTGCGCTGTGTAGGGTCAGAGCGGGACATCGCACGTGAGGGACGCTTCACCTCCAGGGTTTGCTCGCAGCATGGTCACTCACCCTGGGATACAGGCTCGGCAACTTCCATCGTAAGCGTATCATTGGCGCGACTCGCGTGCCGTTCCGCATACGACGCGACCCCAGTCACGATCCTTGGCGCACACCTCCGCAGCCCATCTCGCTCCGACCGCACGACCCCACCGCACCAAGACAGCGCCTACAGAAAGACAGCCGGCAGCGCGCGATACTGCACACGATGGCGGACGACTACGAGAATTGGCCGGTGAACATCAGTTCGGGCAATAAGCCAGCCCTTCGACCGACGCTCAAGAAAGCCGACGACACACTTACAAATTTCAACGGTATATCGAAGGATGCACTTGTGGGGATCTTTCTGGACTTTGATAACAGAAACTATCCGCTGTCTCTGAGCGACCCTGATATCGAGGACAAAGTGACCGCCGCACAGAAGGCTAAGTTGAAAGAAGAGGTGAATAGGCAGAAGGAGATCGCGAAGCTAAATAAGAAGCTGGAGGAAGAGGAAAAGAAGGCAGAGCAAGAGAAGAAGCGTAGCGCAAACGCAGCAGCAAGGTCTGAATTAGAACAGAAGAAAGAGACGACCACGGTGAGGCCTGTGATGACCAAGGCCAGCGCTCAAGAAGATGAAGCTACCCCGATCGACGGCGAAGCAGCGGATCGAGATCAAGACGGAGATGTGCGTATGGCGGGAGATGGGGATGCGGCAGAGGCAGTACCGTTGGTCGATCCGACGGCGGAGGCGGTCTCTAGTCCCGTCGACGGCGGGGGCAAGCGCAAGCGTCCTGCCACAGTGAGTCCATCTGACACCAAGCGGGCACGTACCGACCGACCGAAGACATCGTTAATCGTGAAGTTGAAGTTGCGGACTAAGGACGGAGTTGCGACTGGCGGCATGCAGACTGCGACACAAGTAAGTGAGACCGAGTGCGACAAGATCATGGCTCTTGCTAACGACAATGCTCAGGGTCTTGGTGCTCGTAACCGTCCTAGACAGACTGCTGGAGACACGCGCACAGCCAACACCCGGCGCACCCTTAAGAAGCCAGCTTCGAGGCTACAGCATGGCGTGGCATCTCCTCTTGAGCTCGCAAACCCCATGGAAGGCAGCAAGAACAACCCTGGCGATACAGGCGCTCAAGGAGTGGGCGATGTATCCGGCATCGCCGCACCCGCCAACGACCCTGAGCAAATCCCGTTCCGACGCCATCTGCCACGTACCAACAGGAATCTAGCGAAAGTGCCAGCCGTAGACGAGCCTGTCGCTTCTGATGACGGTTCCGATGAATACGAGCAATCCTCCGAAGAAGCTGCTGTATCCAAGGCGTTGTCGGTGGAGGACGACGAAGGTCCCGACGCAGATGGACTGGCAAAGAAGACACACGTGCCAGCAGGGATACTGCCCCTTGACAAATGGGTTGACGAAGACGACTACTCGCACTCTCCATACGATGAGGTTGCAGCACGGACCATAGTCGCCGCGAAGAGTGGCAATCTGGGTTCCAGTCGCGATCCCAACCTCGTCAAGGAGTTCAAGGGTACCCATAAGGTAGATGGCTATATGCACATTCCTCCACTCTGGTTAGCGAAGAAGATGAATCGTGACCAGTTGGGCGCCGGAGAACGGGAGTTGTACGACGTGCAGAAGGAAGAGTGGGAGAGACAGGATGCGATCATGGCTGGAGTATCGCCTCCAAAGAAGACCGTACGACCTAAGCGGAAGACCTGGCATGATGAATAAGAGAGAACAGGTGGAGCAAGCCACCATAGGGGCCAGTTAGGAGCAGTCTTCGGGCCTGGGTGACCACGACCAGATGTCGGCATGCATACATAGCTCTTTGTTTAAAGCGATAGTGCGCGCATGTGCCCTTTTCGGACATCTGTACCTAACGAGCGCGGCTTTGTTTGAAGGTGGGGCACAGATTTCGCCGAAGACGGTCGATAGCTCTTTGTTTGGACTGTTTTGTCAGTCAACGTGATGGTACAATTACCATTAACCCGTCCCCTTGCGATGCCATGGTCTGATCTTGCGCAATTTGATGCATTTGATTTCGACGTCCAGCTGAACGATCCTGCATTAGCCCACGTCGAGTGCAAAGTTCCCTACAAAAATATGGCTAAAAGGAAGCCGCGTGGCAACAGTGGTCCTGGACAGGATGGCAAAAAAGAAAAAGGGGGAAAGACGAACGGTACTGGCAAAGCTGACGAGATAGCTAGGGCAGCGGAGACCCGAAATAAATACATGCCACGCCTGGTTTTGGTGACTACAGAGCCAGGGAAAAAGAAGAAGCTGCACGAAACATGGGAGTCCATTAAAAAGAGCCTTGAATCCTGGCAAGAGCTGACGGCGAAGGCAAAGGATTGGGAAAAGGATCACGCTGCGTACTACGATTTTGAAGCGATTGAAGCGGAATATAACGCCAAATTTCAAGCGCACCAAGATGCCCTAGATCTCGAAGACCAGCAGACTGGTCATCGTCGTGGGCAATTACAACAGACCAAAGACGCCAAGAAGGCGATGGTGCTCGCACAACAGGCCTACAAGAAAGTGAAGAAGGATAAAGATAAAAAGAGATTTGACAGAGTGGAACGCCGACAGAACCACGATTGGGCAACCACCGCGCAACAAGTACTCGAAGACTGGCTCTTCTATCAGGAGGCCTCCAATCGGCGAAGGAGGGGGCGATATCTGGATCCGGACGAAAGAATGCTTGCGGAGGCGGAACGACTGAAGCGGAAGCTCACATACAAGCTCGAAACGGGAGGCACCGATGGTGGTTATTATGACTGGCTGCATTCGTTGCTTGAACTTTACGACTCAAGAGCCATTGGCGGTCAAAGCTACAAACAAGGTTTCGAAGATCATCTGGGAAACCAGATCCGGGATATGAGGAACAGTGCAGGAGCTATTCCTCGCGTCGGACCAGGTGAACTGCGCCTGTGGACACCGATGTACAGGCGTCGACTTGTTGGCTTGCGTCGCTCAGGGGGAGACGACGATGACAGCGATATTCCAGATGAGGTACCGCACCGCTTTGAGCTAGATGAGGCAGCCATTGAGACAAAGCGGGCAAAGGTGGACAGTAAAGTAGATACCGAAACGGAGAATCTCCAATACACCTCGCATGAGGAAAGACGCCAGGAGGAAGTCTCACAGTATAAGAACGATAGGCCTAACACTTCGAATGTACGGGAAGTAACGAAGGCCAGTGGAACCATCATTGAAGACAGGTGGGGACAAATTCGGACGGAACAGGGCCTGTTCGTATCTGCACGGGAGAGCTCATGGGACTGGCTGACTTCGTATGACTTGCTCGGGCCGGTGAAATCGGGCTGGCACCCTGAGACAAGCGCAGTCAGAGACGATCCGGAAGACTTGGTATATCCTGATAGTGGAAGCGAAGACGGCAGCCAGGTGGATGCACCACAGGCTTCCGGTGATCAGCCTACTGGTGAACACTCGCGCGATCCTATCGGCACTAGAGCAAAGAGTGGCGAAGCTAACATCGGAGAGGGTCAACATCGTCTCCGAAAAGAGAAGAATGCGCGCGGGAAAGGAACAAGCAAGCCCGGTTCCGCCTCGCAGTCATCCGGAAAGCCCTCAGCAGGTGGTGAGTCGACTAACGACGAGACCATACTCGAGAAGCCAGTAGGCGAAAGCCGAAAAGCTGGCAAAGCGACCATCAATTACCCATACCCGGCCAGAGAGTTCTGGAGAGACTCGAAACCATTCAGATTGGGCCAACGCAAGTTCGTCACCACCGAGTGGGCGGAGGAAACGACCGGTCGCCGCGAACGACACACATACCGAAAGCTACAGCACGCCTCACCTGTCAACTCGCCCCCTCAATCTCCAGTGTTAGAGGAAATTCCAGATGCGACCATGCCCATGGGCTTCCCCGAGACGGATACGCGAGCTGTCGCTCTAGAGCCAAGGTCTCGCAGAAAAATATGTCTTCTGAATCCCAATAGATGCCGAGCATTCTGGCCCCACGCTTTGAACGAGTGTTGGATACCATACTCAGAGCGACCGACGCGGCCTGAAGAACCTGTAAAGTGGCCCATCCAGGGGATAGATGCACCCAAAGACGTGACCGAAGGGGGTCCGGATGGATACGTGCCGGCACTCGGTATGCCTGTATACCGCTCTAGGCTATACGACCACTATGGACTGATGTTCCAGAGCACACCCAAGGATGAGGCCCCAGCGCGGCCCATATGGCCTAGGATTGGGATACGAGTGCCATATGAACCAATGACGTTCGAAGACCTTCGTCTGTGCAGAGAAGATGAGGGCAAGGGTGAGATGGAGCCGGAGGCATCGAAATCTGCAGAGCCCGTGGAAGTTCTGGAAACATCCAACCAAGGAAATATAGGCAAGATCCTGGCTCCTGATGCGCATCTAAGAGGTGTCCATGAGGTCCGGTCGATGGCGGTGCCAATTATCGAGGAAGCGCAACGGCCGTGGGCAGATCCTGAAGAAGAGCCTGATGAAGATGACTCGGGCTCAGGCTCGGATGCGGAATCGGACGATGACGGTGATCTTTTCCACGAATCCTACGTGACAGGCTCCTTTCCAGGTGGCCTGCCCGCCCCCGTATCACCGCCAACGGAAGCCTCGGGGACTGCCGCCCCAGACGAAACAGCTCCAGCAAGTGTTGCCCCAGAAGCTGCTGTGCCTATAGAGGACGACCAAATGGATGATGGTGCCGAAGATCTGTAGACACAATACTACCGCATGTCGGTTCAACCATACCTAGGTAGGTACGTAGATGCCGGGTTTGATCTATGATCATTCGTTGATTGTAGCAGGTATTCTGTGCAGCATCATGGAGTATTGATCGGGGGGAGCCTAGCTGGCTTTCGTTCGTCGGTGCGCGGGGGGACGCGTCGTCGTCGCGTTATCTCGGTGGGTATGGTCTCGCTGCCATGGAAGGAGAGGACTGAGGAAAACTGTATCTGTATCGTGGGGTGACTTCAGTAAGACATCAGAGCTCGCAGAATTGTGGCATCGGGCAATCGTTGACGTTTGTTGGCCGACGTGTAGTACTGAAGTTTGCAGTCGCTGTTCGGAGGCTGGGTTTGTGCTGAGTAATCAATGTGCGTCATAGCATAAGCTTCCCAACGGAACCCCGTGGTTCCCTAACGCAACCTCCTGGTATCGACCACCACGCACTGGAGCATCGACAGTATGTCCGGATAATCAATTCATATTAAAGTAACTTAGCTGAGTTACACGACAATATAGTGTGATGTTAGGGTTCGATGCACCCATTAATACCCCGTGGCAGAGTGAGTTGCACCTATTTTTTATGGACCTTTTTACCAGGAACCAGATTTGTTACTGTACACTCGCGGATTCATTATGTATCAAGGTGTTGGAAAGATCTATCACTACATGATAGTGATGTCGATATGCGCCTGCACTACCCTCGCGACAAACGGTCGGTCATCACGCTCACTGTGTTGAGGTGGCCTCAGAGACTACGCATACCTACTCAGGACATGCCTGGAGTGTCAAGCAGTTGGATTGCTTCCTGAAGCTTCTATCGCAATCCGACTGAGTCAAAGATACAAGCACATCTCCTCCGCCTACACCCACATACTCCTCCGCGATCTCCTCTCTTCTCCTTCAGGGTACTTTGGGTCCTCGCCGAGATACTCCATCCTGTTCTCTCGGTAACGCTTCCCACTACTACCCTGCTCCAGATTCCAACACCTCTCAATCTCTTCCCACACATTCTTAGCCCGGCGACCTATCTTAGGCGCCAGGATCTTGGCTTCCGCGATAGTGGGCGGAGCTTTCGGATCTGCGGTCTGCCTGCTATCCAGCCAGTATAGATACGCATGGCGCGCCGATACCAACTCGCCAACTCGCCAGGCCTTCGGATCCCGCGATGCTAGACCGGGGTGCATATGAATCTGGTATGTCTCATCTAGGCGAGGATTTGGTTGGAGGCAGATGGGATCGTATGGTGGCTGGCGGAAACCGAGGAATGCAATGATGCGCGGGTCGTTGATGAGGAGGAATTCGACTGGCCCGTTATCCATACTAGCTGCTACTTGGGTGACCTGGTTGTTGTTGTTGTCGCGGTGTACGCACATGGCAACGATGATGGCGCTTCGATAATAGTCGGCTTGGACTTCTTGGATCTTTGTCATGGGAAAAGCTTCGAAACCATGGATTCGTACAACTGTGCAGGTACCGGGGGTATGCCTTTCGCATGCGACACCTGCAGAAGTGATTGGAGCAGGTGGTGGTACCGGCGATGAGGTTGGAGGCGAAAGTGCTGTCTTTGGGTTGGCATGTTCGATCGTGACAGGTGGGAGGGCTTTTGCCAAAGGTAGGTCTTCCATGTCGACATCCGGGGTTTGTGCGACCTCGAATCTGATTTTCGTTTGCAGTGCGTCGTTGGCGACAGTATCCTCCTCCACAACCTTATTAGGCGCATCATGGCTTCCTATATCGTCGTGCGCTTCATCGACCTTCTCCGCCTCTTCTTTCTCCTCTGCCAATTCTTCGACCAAAGGCAGCTTGTACGACAACCTCTCTTCCCGTTGATCATGCGCAGTCGCAAACTCGTTATACACCCTGATCAACTCGCGGTTCCCTAGCCTCTCGAGAATATCTTTGATTCTCTGCGTCCACAGTGCCAGCAAGTGCTTCTTCTGGCCGCCTCTGGTGAGAATCAAGCGCATAGTGTTGATGAGCTCGCTGGCTGCGGTTTCGGGCATGACAGCGAAGAGCCGAGGTTCAAAGACGGTAAGACTGCTCGACGTCGTGGGTGGCCTCTTCCGTCTGTATGTCTTGGGAGTCTGCATCGCATTTGTCTCAGGCGCGGTGGTGTTGATCGGTGGGGTAGGCGCGGGTGTGAAGAATTGCTGGGGGTCTGGCGTGTCGCTTTGCATTTTGGTGCCTTCTTTGCGCATACTGTTCTTGGTATATTGATGGTTCGAGGTTTTGTTACGAAAGTCCTAGTGATGCGACGTTATTGATGGTCGCCTGGTGGGCGTTTGCGCGCAGAGTTGTTTTGTTTTGTCTCACTTTCGCTTGCGCTCTCACTCGCGACCTCCAGAAAGAGAGGAAACATTGAAAGAACTATACACAGTACCAATCATTAATCCAACTCCTGCAAAGGATGGGATCAATAAGTGATTTACCCACATACATTCAGGCAGCACTATATAAGTCAAACTAGCGATATCATTATCGCATTTGACATCACATGAATTCGGGTCGCTTGTCGCCCCCCTAGAAGTTTACTCAATCATTACACGTCTCCGTTATATGCCTCCACTACACATTGCAATACAGACCCGTCATCCAACTCCTTTTGCTAAACATCTTACCCAAAGTGCGCCTCAACTAATACCGTGCTGCGCTTTCACCTGCGCTTCATACTCTGCAATCGCCCCATTGATCTCACTGACCATCTTCTCCCTTCTCAAAGCATCCGCTTCCGTCTCTGAGTCCTGAAGATCTGGCACAGGCTTACCTGTGACATTCTTGAGGGCTTGTTTAGCGACAGCAACATTCCGAAAGTCCTCATCAAACGCATCTTGAGCAGCGAGAAGCTCCTTCCGTGCCTCTTCGGTGATGACCTCAAGCTGTGCAACAAGATTACGCGGCTGTTGCGTCGCGCGAGCGGCTGCCATCCGCATCGTAGCCATACGCTCCCTTAGTCGAACGCCATACAACGCATTGCGACATGCTTGGAGCTTGACTCTGGCATCAGCCAGGGCGTATTCTTCGGGACTGGATTCGCTACTGGTAGTCGCGGAAACCAGCAAAGCACGAAGTTCAGCGGATGACTGCGGACGCGCTCGCTCGAGAGCCTGAAGTCGCGTCATCTCACGCAAGTCCTCGAAAGGCATGTTGAAGAAGTGGACACCAGTTTCCGTGCGTTTGTCGGCTGCACGCCAGTACAAGGGGCCAGGTGTTGTTCTTCCAACTGTGAGGTCAGCTGCCAGGGGGCTATTGATCTCAGCAGCGATACCTTCCTCTTCTGGTATCAAGCCTGGTGAAGCATGGTGATTGACTTGGGGATTGGCGTCGTCATGACCAAACCCAGAAGCAGTGACACTAGCTTGCGAGTCATCGAAATCCATCATTTGAACGTCTTGGTCGGATACTGGCTGCTTTTCCCGGTCACCAGCATCGTGCGCATCCGTGTCCTTTTCGGTCGACACTCGTCTATCATAAGTCTTGAGCCGTTCTAGAATGAAGCTGGTGTCGACAACGTCCTCCATCGCCACTAGGTCCCCTTCCCCGCAGCTCCTAACGAAATCACTGACCGGTTCGTGCTTTCTGTTGTCACCGGCGTGCCCTTGAGGTATTGCTTCTCCGGTGGTCTCTTTGCCTGGATCAGCTACCGCGGAATCGGGGGTGTGTTCGACCAAAACATCATCGGAGATGTCGTCTTCCTGAAGAGAAGGAGGTTTTGCAGTCTCCTCTTTCGCACTCTGGCTCGCTGTAAGGCTGTTCGATCCGGTAGCCGGGACCCATACTTCAAAGCCGTATTTGTTTACGCTCTTTACCATAGGAGTAGTTGGTCCAGCTGCTGGTTGACCAGCCTTCTTCCGATGCGAACGTCTTGTTGGAGTCTCGGTGGTGCTGTCCTTCTTTCCATTGCGTCCTCCCTTCTCACGCATTTGGGGCTGGAAGTGTTTATCCCGGAGGTGATCGACAGTTTGTTGAGTGCCTTGACCTTGTGGCGCACGACTGTTCACGGAATTCGGTATGCGCTCAGTGGGTGATTTTATGACTGTCTTGGCCTTGGTAGTCTTGTGTCGCTTCGGTTTGGGTTCCCTGAAGTTTGCACCAGGCAAATCTGTTTCACTGTTGCCGGGCTCATGCTTCTTAGCTGCTTGCTTCGGTTCTTTGTCACAAGACCTAGCTGCCGGGACGCTGCTCTCACTTCCCATATCATTGATTTTCCTATCGGTAATAGCAAATTCCGATGCAGGAGTGCGAGACCTCCTAGTCGAAAAGATAGGGTTGATGGCGGTCGGTGGGAAAAGTGATCGGCGGGGTGCTCTACCGTTGGTTTCCTTTGCGACGAGCTTTCACGCGCAGTGACTTCCAATCTGATGGTCTAAATTTCTGACTTTGGTGAGTTGATGAGAGGCAAAAAGGTCATGATCAATACACAAGTGCGTACTGGAAGACTGGGGGCATGTGTAAGAGGACGAGCAATGTCGATGAATTCCAAGAACCTTTGGTCATAGCGGCTCGATATCGCCATAGTGAATTTGCGTGCAGAAATTTTCTGCACAGCCGATGCGGGCCGTGACAAGATTGAATTCATCTCATGCATCGTGAGATGTCGTGAGCGTTGTAAGCGGTCTTCGTCGCTGTCAGGCGTCTTCGAAGTCCACGCTTCGCTGGGAAGGAGGCAACGACACCCGCTTATGACGAGCATCCTGAGGCCTCAATGTAGTTGTCAGATGCGCGGTCTTGGAAGTATATCCCCGAAGGTAACTTGAGATGCGCGGTTGTGGTTGCAGCCCGAGTGGTGTTGTGAAGAATGATGACGTCATCATCACCGAAATTAGCGCCGATGTCGCGTACGCGACACGCGTGCTTGGACCCTGAACCACCAAACTTCACGATATCCGAAGAAGGCTACCTAGGTATGGTTGCCATCTCCAGAATCTGTCCAACATTTACCTCACTTTCATCAATATTCTTTGTCGCACGTGGTTACCTGTGAAGCATAGTTGCACGCCCAAGGTCTACACAAGCGATCACACACGACGTCATATCGGCCCGCAGTGCTTAATATATCGAGGATTCATCACATTTTAATTTGTCCTCTTCAACGAAGACGTTCTACCCTCCAGCTAACAACCAGTGTCATACGCAAAGCTTTCTTGACTCCCTATCAAGTCTCAACACCATGGACCCGCGCCGAACCGTCTCATTCCGTCTCGAACCCACCAAGCCTTCCTAGCCCCGACGCACCCTTTTCTTCCTCTCGAACATCGTCTTCCGCTCCTCCGCATCCATCACACCAGTTCCTGCCGGTTTATACATGGGCATGGCAGTCTTGACGCCTGACTCCATCCATCGTGCCCACCGGTTGTGCAAGTCCACGATGCCGTGATTACGCACAAAGGTCTCTAGGTCATGAAGTACTGCTTGTTCGGCGGTAGCATCCTTGTCTTCCTCGGCGGCTCGACGACGCGTCCACACGAGATGCATATACTCTTGACGCTCAGCGTCTGTCGTCAGGATCTGGCCCATCTCTTCCATAACCTGTCGTAGACTCGGTCCGGCGGTACCAGTGGTGATGATAGTCGTCGGCCAGATCGGAACCCCAGTCTTTCGAAGCTTTGACTTGGGGGGCTGGGTATTGGCTTCAACTGGAGTGGGCTTGGCAGGTCGCTTTCCAAGCTGCTTCTGAGACGGTCGTGAGACTTTCTTCAGGGTACCCTGCGAGCGCTTGCCCTTCACAGGGAGAGACTCCCCAAAGTCTCCGTCTTCTTTGTCATCGTCGGCCTCTTCGCTGCTGTCTTCGAAGTCTTCGCTGTCCTCTTCAGGCTCTTTTTCCGACCGGTTCTCGACTTGTCCCTCTATACCTCCCTCGTCATCTATACCCGAGAGACCAAAGAGCTCAGGATCTCCATCTCCTTCATTATCATCCTCCAAACGGGATGAGCCCAAGAAATCCGATGGGCCCGCCTCCGTGGCCTGAGCAGCCTCGATCTCGGCCTGGCGACGCCGGACCAAGGCTGCAAGGTCTTCAGACCCGGGCTTGCGTGTTCCGGTCGATGTAGAGTCGCCAGCAGTCTGGCCCGCAACCTCTTCCTCTGCATCGCTCCAATTCCCTTCGACGTCCTCTGGCTGTAGTAGTGTATGACCACCGATACGCATAGGACGTGTCATCGTTGTCGGGGCGGACAGAAATGCCTGGTTTGGAACGCGACGGGAATCCTTGGAAGCTGGTGCGCCAGGGAGTACGAACTGATGCCTCGGTGGGGTGCCCTGTGGGGTCGTTGATGGTTGTAGAGTCGTTGGCGTCGTCGATGGCGGCGGTACGTATACTGCTCGTTGACGTCCAGAAATCTGGTTCTTTGGCGTTGTTGCTAGACGTCTAAGACGTTCAGCTTATTAGAGGTCAGTGATTGCTATTACGAGGGGACTGACTTCAGGGGCGATGCGCAAACGACCAAATAGTAAAGAACGCAATTGCTTACCATTATCAGCTTGAGCAGCAAGCTCGTCCTGCTTCTGCATCGCACGCATAGTCACAGCTGCTCGCCTGTTCAGCTCTTCAAGTCCCGCATGGCGCCCCCATACAAGTCGACAGGTTTTCCAAGCATTCCTTATCATCTGGAGGTCCTCATCGGTGTCCTCTTCACCCATGTTGTCCGGCATTGGGCCAGCAGGTTCCAACTTCCAGATCGGTATCATCATGGGAAGCTGCGTGAAACTGATGACTATTTTTCCCTCCTTCTCAACAAACATGCGAAGGATATCGGAGTTCTCGATGAGAATGGTGTCGGTGTCAATGTTGCCGGTGCATGACATCACGACCCTGATGACCTTCGTGGTGAAACCCTCGGACGGTGGGCTCTTAGCGATCCTGGTGATTGTAGCGGTCGCACTGTGAACGTGCACAGGGCCATGTTGCTTGTCAATGTTCATGTCGGGGAAAGGCGTTTCTACCGGAACCTCCTGAGTGGACATGGTTACTGTTGTACGGGCAGCGTAGAGCAAAGATGGCTGCACGAACGAGTGGTAAGAATTGATAGTGGTCTTTGGACTACATGGGGGCCAGTGCTCCAATGTATGGTGGGGTGGTGGAGAGATTGCTCTCGCACCGTCAAGTGTAAGGTGGTTTGCGTCTTTCATTGAGTACCCTGCACACTTTTTTGGGTCGTAGAGCACTTGACGATCTGTTCAGGAACTAGCAACATCGGTACCTGGAGTCCCAGGGGTCATGAGCGCTTCGCACTTCATACTCGCATCACCCCCGGATACAGTCCCGTCTAATGGTGTGACTTATTCATCGCTTGCGCTATCGACCACCAGCAAACAGACACTGTTTCTCGACATCACCCTTCACAACGCCGTCAATCGAGTTCATTCCATGAGCATGCGCGATTCCACGAGCTTCTTTCAGCTACCACAACCCAGCGAAGACTAAGCAAAGCGTGTCCAAATGATCAGCTTGACGTTGCGCGGTTTCACCGAAATGGAATACACTCAACAGCCGAAAGTCTTCCGGCCCAGCTGGTACACCATCCCAGCGATCTTTTCCACGATTCAGTCGTACACTTCGGCAGTGGAGTGGTTCTACTATCTGACCTTTATCTCGCACATACTATGCAAGTCTGACTCGGCCCATATAGCCAAAGCCCACCTCATCTCCTTTCTGCGCGCTCGTCCACACATCCAGATGTGGCACGAAGCTTTGCTCTCCGAGATGTACGACGAGGACGAACCAAACCTTCCGTCGGTACTGGAAGGTACGAATCTCTTGCATCCCTTGATACAGAGATTTCACGAGTATTGCACGCAGAGATTCTCGTTGATGACGAGAGGGGATGTCTTCGTTGCGCGATGCGTGGTAATTGACTTCATCTACAGGCGCTTGGACAAGGCGCAGAAGGCAGCTGAGCTGGCGAAAGATGCGCAGACCAGGAAAGTGCTGGAAGAACAGGGTGTGGCTGTGCAGCAGCGCGAGCAGGCCCGACGAGCTTTCGAGGCTTCTTGTCTCCGCTTTGGTAGTATCGGGAAAGATGTGCCTGCTGCCGGTCAGATTGGTGTTCTCGATCTTGCCGCTCTCTTAGCTGTGTTGTCGTTGCAATCGCCCTTTGATCTACCCGTCACGCCCGAACCTGGGTTTGCTGCAACATTAGCGCCTGTTCAGCAGGTATCATGGCTGAAGGGTCTTGCGCGCAGTTTGGCTCAGCTTGCAGTAGAGGTCACTCCATCCTACACTCACTTGGCAGCGTAGTCCTGTTGTACGACAAACTTTGGCACAACTGCGTGCGCAATCATTAACTACCTTTGATGTTTTGCTCGTGTAGAACAATAGAATGAGGTTAGACAATGAGGCCGAACAAGCAATAGTCAACTCATCACAAGGTAAGTGCAAGTATTTAACGGACTGGCGAATTACCTTCTCTTTTGCTTCGCAAATTCCTTCTATACTTATATATATATATTGCATTTAAATCTCTTGCTACTTGGCTAATCAGTCAGGTGCTGCTTTTGTTCGTCACTACCGACCCGTCACACTCCTTGCCTTACAAGAAGATGAAGTTTGCGACATCTTGCTTTGAGACCTCCGCAGTCGCTCCGCGGGAGTCACGGCCCTTGAGAAGCTCACTCAATTCACCGATTCGATCATTGTGGCCCTACCTTGGCGATGTGAATGAGAGCCTTCTTCGCCGCTTATATCGACCGAGAACGGTTCACGATCTGACTCTTGTTCTACTCAACCAATTTCACTCTTGAGTTCAGAGCCTATAGACCCCTTATAAACGGCCCTTTACCTTCTACCACTTTAACCACTATCAGAAGCTTTCAACAGAACATCACATTCAACAGCCAACCGCACCGAAAACGCACATAATCGATTGTAACGGTAAAAATGGTCGAGACAATGAACACACACACGTCCTGTTACACCAACAGTATCCTCCAAAGACTCAAGGATATCATTGGTCTCAATGATTTCCTGTTCTACGGGAACATTATCACCCGAGTCTTCCGATGCAACATCAGTGGGTCTGGCTCTTCACCAGCACTGTTTCACATGCTCAAGTCTAACCCAGATGCGATCTTCCTCCACAACGAGATCGCAACCATGACGAAAACCGTGCTGGAAAAGTATAACCTTCCGGTATTCGAAGACGAGAAGAATGACGCGAACTCTTCACGCTATTCCGCAAGCGCAGACGACAGCTATGGCCACCAGCTATTTGATGTTGTGGATCATTTCGCGGGTACGGAAGGAGCGCGACCCGCTGATGCGCATACCGCGCGATCTCAGGTCATGCGGTGTGTGGAGATGGTGCAGCAAGAGCATCAGAAGATCGAGCAGGCAGTCGACGATGTTGCGGCGGTGCTTGCATCAATGGGGGTGGATACCATGGCGACGGATGCAATGGAGTTATGACTCAGCTCCAGAGTGCGAATGGTGAAGGCTAGAGGTAACATATACGCACGAATGACTAGAGTGGAACAAGTCATAGCAGCAGGAAGACGATATACAAGTTGCAGTTCATCAAGTACATTTGGCATACATAGTCTGGAGGCACACAAATCATTCTTTCAGTCGACATTGATCATCACAAAGGCATCATTCGAGTGTTCAAAGAGTGTATACATGAATTGTTGAGACTTACAAGGGACCAGCCCCAGCTCACAACTAGCTAATGATCATCAAGGTGAGACTTACGGACGACCAGCGCCCAGCTCACCACCAGCACCCACAGACCGGACGCCATCACACCACATCTACGCCGCCGCCGCCGTCGCCGCCACCACCACTCACTCCTTCTTGACCACCTTCTTGGCCGTCACCGGCACCCGACCCTTCATGTAGAAGTCAGCTCCAAATCTCTCCACCTCCTTGGTGAGACTTGAGTGACTCCTCAAAGGCCGAGCGCCGGCCGTACCCGCGAGAACCTTGCCGCCGAAGGTCTGGTTGAACGCCTCAACGAAGGCCTTCCACCCCTTGGTGGGCTTGCCGGCGGTGAGGTTGGCGAGGATCCACTTGCGCTCCTCCGCCACGTAGGCCTGGACGACCTCACGGAACCGAACGCTGGTGTTGCGCCGGATTTGCTGAACAGTGCGCTTGTTCAGCGCCGTGATGGCCTCTTGCGAAGCCCAGTTGCGCGGAGGAGGGTTGGCGAAGATGCGCTTCTTGCCGTTCTTGTCGAGGAGCTTGACGACCAGCTTGTGCTTCTGGTCGAACGCGGTGCCGTCGGCGAGAAGCTCGAACCGACCGGGGACAAACTGAGTGAATTCAGGGTTGGCCTTGAAGTTGTCGTCGTCGGCGTAGTCGGTGGCGTATGCGCCCCAAGTGACGTTGCGGAACAGCTCTGGCTTGGTGGTGTCTTTGACGTCGCCAGCGACGTCGCCCACGTCCGAGTCGTAGTACTCGTTGCCGGCCTTGGCGGCGGTGGCGATGAGCGCAGCGTGGTCAGCCCGCTTCGGGTCCAGAATGCGCTTGTTGCGCTTCAGGGCGGGCACCGAGATGGGCACCGAAGGTTGGGCGGTCTGCTTCATGCGACGCTTGGGCGGCTTGGTGTCGGCCTCGGAGTCGTTGTCGTCCTCAGACTGGGTGACGAGTTGATCGATCTTGCGCTTATGGCCAGCGCCAGCAATGGGGGTGGGTGAAGATGGATGAAGGGCGGATTGGATGCAACGCAGTTTGAGCTTGAGACCTGAGCGACCAGATTCTGCGTTGGGGAGGCCGGCAGCGTGGCTCACGGGAATGGGAGTGGAGTCGACCGCGGTGGCGTTCTTGGGGCGCCTGAGCTTGAGCTTGAGCAGACGAGGCTTGCCGGAGCTGTAAGGAGCAGACGGAGAAGGAGCGCCAGCGGAGCGAGGGCCAAAGGTGTGTCCAGCACGAGCAGCTCCCATGTGTACATCGATCGGTGAGGCCTGCTCAACCGAAGGGAGGATGACGGAAGGGGACCTTGTGGGAGTCGTAAAGGGATCCTGGGGACGAGCGTGACGAAGTCCAGCCAAGATGGTGGCAGCTTCAAGCATACCGGGTGAGACCAGCTCGACCGAGGGCAGAGTAGAGGAAGACATGATGATAGAAAGGTATCGTGAAGAGTAATGGGTATCGTAAAGATTGAAAGATGGAAGTAAGAAGCTGAGTGCTGAAGAATGTATGGTAACGTGCTGGAAACTGAGAAAGTCGTAATGAGAAGATAGAGAAAGCTGGGTGGTCTGACGATAGAGACTGCAACTTTTGTCTCATTAAGCTGCTATTGTCTCGAGGTGAGCTGCACAAGTTTCTGCCGTCTTGTCCCAATCGGGTGGTGAAGGCTGGTAATTCCTATTGTGAGTCGTAGTGAAGACGCGAAATCGACCCATTTTGAGCGCGTTCACTTTGCGGAACAATAGGATTGTGTCGAGAAGCGGTTAAGACGGCACCAGTCGAGGTGACCTGCGATAGTTCCAGACGTCAGAGAACTATCTGATAGCCAAATATGGCATTCTCAGCACATCAATACTGGACTTCTCCATTGTGAGCGGCGTAAATGAGACTCATTGTTCCGGTCATGATAGCTCTTAATGCTGCCTCTTGTTCCGTGGTCTTGCTCCCATCAGACCCTTTCACCTTCACTTGGTCGTGGCGTTCCCCTTGGTGTGGATGGTGTGAACATTGTAGTTTTTGCAGCAGCCAGGACGCATATCCTTCCTTGGAGTATCAGGTCCATACTCTTTAGATCCCTCTTTTCAAGTGAGTCGCGCAATTTCGTATGGATAGAGTAAGGTGGTGTAGTGGGCGCAGCTCGTACGTGACGATATACATTGCTGATGGCTCGTGTGTACGCTAGCGCTATATATGGTTAGCGTAGTTGATGACATCATCCATCGGATATCTCGTTTGGCCACATCTGCTCAACCTGCCGACGTGGCTATCAGTATTCACATCCTTGGAGAGGATGCGATCGAAGAGCCCCCAAGTGCTCCAGATGAATGCCTGGGAGAATGAGTAGCGATGCCGACCGAAGTCCTGTAAGATTGACGATGGCGCATGCAGGACGCGACGCGTCAAGGCAGCAGCTTTGCATTTGTCTTTGCATTACCCATGAGTATAGTCAGTGCTCTCACACCTTTCATTTACTAGATCAAATACTACATCGTCGTCGATCAGAATGGCTAGTACACCAGCAATCGACGTCGTCATCACTTCTTCGCCCGACGTTTTCGATATCGACGGACATACAGATCTGAGCATCCGCCTCAGTCTCACGCTTCGTCACGACAAACCGATTACATTGTACAAACGGGACACGAGCCTCTTCGACGGCAAGATACTTCATGATGGCGGGCTCACGTTCACCGATGTCGAGACTGGTCAACGCGTGCCACGCAGCACCTTGAATATCTGCTATTTCTCTAGCGAGAGCTTTTCATGGGCGACTAGAAGCCAATACGTTACACTACATCCAGAGAAACAACATGTCATTCACACCGGCTTTACACCTCTAAGTACAAGCCGACGGGAGAAAACAGATCCAAGAGAATCGTGGGTGGGGACGTTGAAGTTCGCCGGCTTCAAAGATGGGCAGACATGTAGAATAGGCATCAGTGAGAACGCTTTTGTCAAGGACTGGTTTGAGGGAACAGTCTGGGAGCTACTAGGATGGCAGATGCTGGGTTGGGCGCCGACGACAGTTCACACGCACATCAGCTACAGGGTTGTTAAGTCATCGGTTGTCACGATCAAGCGACTCGAGGCTGATGATGATATCCGCCTCGAGGACGTACTCTCTGTGAAACCGACTGATTGAGCTATCATCTAGTTCAGCAAGTCGTAGCTGAATGCTTAAACCATACCCAAACGCTGGTCTCTAACCGCTCGACCAATACAACCCGTGTCTTTCTGCTCTACTCAGCTCTATCTTGAACGTGATGCTCTCATACGCGGTTCTCACACCCTATATCTGTACCGATCTTTCCTCTCAACGCCAATCATCTCCGTTAGGGTCGTCTTCAGATCTCTAGCCATCGTGTATACTATCTCTTCCGTTCTCGCAATACGTATTGGTACGTCGCGCCAGTCTACACGCCGACGCAGCTGCCCAGACTCGATGTCTTTGACTAGTTCGCTTAATAATGCGGCATTCAACTTGTAAAACCCCACGAAATGCCGCGCATGCGCAAAATGCGCAAGCTCATGCAGCATTGTCCTTACCAAGTCGTTCATATGGACAAAACGGCGTGGATCGCGATCGTCACGTAAACGTAACTGTATGTTCAACGGGATGATCTCGGTTTTGGTTTTCCCATAACGATCTATGCCGTACTGCTTTTGAGTCAGGGACTTGCCATGGCAGGAAGAGTACTGCGAGAGCTCATGCAGCATTGGGACAGTCCAGCCATGCCGACGCATGATAGGTCCGACGATGTAGGCACATCGTCGCAGGAGGTAGAGGGCGTAGGATCGATGAGGCAGGCCATCGAGTGTCGTGTAGCTAAAGAAGGAGCTGTCTAGGCCGCGTTGAGGTGGCAGGTGGTCTAGTCGATGGAACATGGTTGAGCTGATGCTGTGAAGGCTTTACACCTGGGTTTGGTCGGACTTTACATTCTTTGAGACGAAGCAAAGGCCGTAAGCAGAGAGCGAGAAGGCGAACTTGGCAGCTGGTGAATGACATGCGCAATCGGCCTCAGCTGGTCCCTATCCCCTTCCTGCTTGTATCCAGTGAGCATTCATTCAAAAGCTATCAAAACAGTGACGTTATCGTGAAAGGGGACTACAAGAGCCGCATGGAAATGAAAAGTATCGGTGCACATACGAGACACTGGTAGTGAGACTCGCATTTCTCTTCAGCGAAGGCTGTCTCAACGGGCATGGCCCTACACAAGACATGGTGTACAACATATAGGTATCAGTATGCGTTCACAATGTCTATAAGCGACAACGTAGAGCAATGGCCGTGAACACAGCCACGATAGTCAACAAAGGGCCTCCAGTTATTCGTACGGCTTTGTTCACTCCATGCACTTCACAGTGATGTTGCTCGTGCTCAGCCCAACCCGCCAAAGCACAGTTGAAAGGGAAGTGAATATCTGTACTTGATGCGAGCTGGACAATCTACAGCAAGTACAGATTGATAACGTACCAATTACTGGAAGTTTCCAAATACATCGCTTGATTCGAGATGATGAAGCTAACCATAGCCAAGGTGACCTTCACACAGTGAAACGCCTAGAAACGGCAGCGACTACCAAAAGAATCGAGAATAGCCATCTTAAAGACCGTCAGGTCCTTGCCTTAGCGAGAAAAACAATCCGCTGTCTTCCACTAATATTTCGCGAGACATCTCTTTTGGAATGAAGTGCGGGACAAATTCAAGACTGAGACCTGGCCGTGCGAACTCATGCGATCGAAGCTGGAGCTTCTCGATTTGCAGATCGAGTGTGTACGCCCGGGAACAGCGTTGACCCGAAGCAAATGACCGCAGAATCTGAGGACGCCCGGTATCGTGTCTGTCTCTGCGTGACCCCAGCGCTCGTATCGGGTATCGAAGACACCGCATGGCAGCAAGGCCCCACCTCATCTGGGGAGGCGCAGGGCTACAAGCTTGCACTACTGAAAGTAAGAGACCCCTTTGCTGATGTCTCGGATCAGTCGAAGGCTTTGCACCACGACGTACTCGTGAGTTCTGCCGTGATACTCGTCGAGGCGATTCCAGAGGACATGGGTTTGGATGTGGAGACACGGCAGGACCATGTGAATGCCGTTGATCGCATGATTGGAAGGCTGGGGTAAGGCTGTAGGAGATGGAAGTCGAGAGCCTATGTCGCATTGTGACGTTGCCGCCGGGTGGTAGTGTCTTCGAAGGCAAGGATAGACCGTCGTTGTGCACTCCCGTTCTCGCATTGGTAGCGCATTACTACAATCATTAGACTGTCGGTAACATACTTCCATCCCACAATCATCTCCAACGGCGAAATCTCGCGGCTATTGCTCACAACCCTCACTACGCGCATTAACTTCATCCTCAAGCACAAGGCTCTGATCCCTCCCAGCTGATGATACTCATACTCCAGTGGTACAGTTTCAATGTTGCCTACAGGGCTACCCTGGCCAACGATGGCAATCCGTCTTCAAGGAAAGGTACGTAACACGCCTGTGAAGAGGGGTTACCTGGAGATGCGGCGGTACCTGGATACTGCTTACTTCGCGGGAAGTGGCAGTGCTGCGATAAGAGGGGTGCCGTCGTAAGCAAGTAGCCGTTGGGGAGTAGAGGAAATGAGCCTGACGACAATGTGCGGGAATTTTCCTGGGCTCCTCCAGTAGTTATCATGGGTACCGTGAAGACACCACGGTAAAGGTTAGGTTTTTCGATAGATCGACCGTTGATCTACCGAACAGGCTGACCCAAGCCCTACGATTTGGGTCAACTCCACGATGCTGACCCGTTTTGACAGTTCCCAATTCCTCTCTTGGGATCGGGTGCTGAGACTCCGAAATTTGCTCCGTTGAGCTGGCCTCGTTGGAGTCACAATAGCGCCGAGCGAGAACATGAAGCACGGTACGTGTTCAATGGTACTCGGTAGCTTTCGGTCCTCGGAGGCTAGCAGGACATCGCCCTGAAAAGCAAACACCCAATGAACTTAGAATCAGCGGCGTGCAGCATTGCGCCACTGTGAGCCAACGAAGGGTCCGCGGGTGCGGCGTCGCCTCGCTTTTCTGGAACAGCGGCAGCGAACAACGTAGCCCGGCTGCCAAAGTACGCCCTCCACAACAAGCGCGGAAGCAAGCGCGAAAAGAGGGTCCGCGCAACGTACTGACATAATGGCACCCCTTCGCTGCGAAAAAGCAATGATGGTTGCATGTCGTTGTACGTAAGTTGGACGAATTCGTCACAGTAAGCGCCAAGCTGGAGCGTTGGGTATCGGCTGCAGAACGGCATCTTCCTGTTACGTGGACAGAAACGTAGCGGGTATCGGAGTCTTAGCGATATGCAAACAGTTTCAACCGCCATCGAAGATGTCTGGTAGGAAAGGGGAAGCTCCAATGGGCGAGCAGACAACCTGGTGCTTACGCGCGGGCCTCCCTCGACTCGGCACATGCCTATGTGTGCAGCTCTTCTCGCGTGGACTGCACCCACTTATGATTGGCGGTCAGATAACACCTATGATGTCGCTCGCCTGAACGGTGTGTAGGGCTGCGCACGAGTCCTCTTTCAAGGTGATTGACATGAAGATAGACAAGTTGAGAGTTGTCGAACACCCGGCCGATGCCGAATCGAACTAGCGCCTTGGCGTCGCGTGGTGCCCAGCCGCTGGGGACACCTTCGAATCGTGACTTGTGGAGAAGGGGTCCGCTCTGTTCCCACGACACCATGCCCTTTTGTAACACTACGCTGTCGACGATCCTCATGTCACAGCGCGCGCCCAGGCTAAGGCCCTCACTGTCGGACGCATCCTCAGGCTCAGATCTTTGCCGGGCAGAAGGACCGACTCAACCCTGTTTCCGCGGGGAAAGAAAAGCAAGGAGAATCTCAGAAACAAGAATGTGTCAACGGCACCGCTGTACAGCCTATATGGAGCTTCATCTATGTGAGGAAGCCACAGACAGATGGAGAGCTCATCCCGTACGCATAGTCAGCTACGACCCGTTGGTAATCTCCACAGCAGGTCTCAGCGAGAAAAGGCCGCCGCCGGGTCATCGCGGCTCGCGTACAGCTAAAGATCCGGTCTAAAAGCTACCCGCACATCTCCTGGAGCCACAGTTATTCTGCTCACCAAATGTTTAGTGGAAGTTGATCTTGTCCAATTTCTGAGGTCTCCACCTGTATTCGACTTGCCTCGGCGACTTCTAACGGTCTTGAGCAGCTGCATGCGTTGATGATGACTGATCTGCAGATTTTCAGGGCCATACTGCTTCTGCTCGCTTTCTAGCAACGCAGCTGCGCGACCATCAAGTCTACGGAGTAGGAACCAAGCATGTTAAGTGGCAGAGCCGTCTTGCTGACTGCGACGGAGGATATAGCGTCCTGTCAAATTCATGGGGTTGACACTAGGGTTCCGGCCCGGGCCTCAACCAATTCAAACTCAGCACATGAAAGCTCCTTTCCAGACGGCTCGCGATGGTGTTCGTGCCGTCAATTTCTAAAGCTTCGTACTTTGGCGAGGTAGAGATTGAAAAAGCGCATTGCGTGCGCAAGTTCGTCTCTAGGTCCGCCCCGTGCGTCTCTAGCTGCAGCCTGCAAACGCGAAGGATGATCATGGTTTTGCCCACACAAAGTTTTTAGTTCTCGCTTACAAAATCCGCGAATGAGAGTTTACCGTCTCCTGTACGACATCACGCAAGCCGTGCCACGTTCCTGCATGTGTGTACACTCCGCTTTTTCGACTGATCCTCCCGAGTCCTCAGTGGCATCCTTTACCGCTCTGGCTCGGTACGAGTCCTGAGATGGAATCGCATCCACGACTCCTTAGCCCGTGTGTAATATCACGATCTCACTTCCCAGGATGCTGGCGGCCGAAGGAGCCCTATGCATCGGGCTGAAACACTACATCCGACGAACATGGTTGGTGACACCATATCCGCCATCACAAAACGAATGAACACGAACTGCTCAAGGTCGAACCATACACAACTTTTGCACACGCGTGCCGCTTGAAGTTGGAGCTACTTCTCCAACTTTGCGTGACAGCCGAACAGCTCACCATTTTGCAGGGACTGGGTTGTCTGCGTTCTGTAGATCCCGGGAAAACCGGAACGTCGCACGGGACGTGTTGAGACCGATCTCACACACTTCGTTGCTCTCGCGTTTTCGACTCGTGGCCATGCCGAAGGTTTCCTGACAGGGCTGCAGACCCTGGCACCCGCGGAGTAATTGGCGAATGTCACTGTTCGGTGGGCGTACGGAAGGTGGGTACGTGCATAAGTGTGGTTAAAGGTAAAGCCACCGACGAAGCCCATACCACCCATCTGGTTCAGGGATCTGGGCAGGCTGTGAAATACTCTATGTTTCCCACAAAAGCAGCCTGATTCACCTTATCTGGTCGTCTTGAGACCTACGCTATCACATCATGGCTGGATCATTATCTGATAACCCGAGGGGTAGGCAAGCGGTCGAGATCTCTTCTGTCTTCACTGGTCTGGCTCTCATTACCGTCGTCCTTCGACTGTACACGCGCTTCTTTATAATTCGCTGCGTGGGTATCGAAGATGCCGGCATCGCTCTTGCAATGGTAAGTTTATCGCTACATCATATTGTGTATGTCCATGCTAACCTTCTGCCAGCTCTGCTCCATTGGCTTGACAATCGCCATTGGTATCCGTTAGTATTTGCCTGACTACGTTATCTTATAGACACTAACAAGATGCAGAGGCCGAATATGGTATGGGCAGACACATCAAAACAATCCCAGACGACCACATGGTCAAGTTCTTGAGGGTGCGACACTCTCAACGTGTACTTCAGTGCACTGCTAATATAAAGCGACAGACATTCTGGTCCAGTCTCATCGTATACTACCTGTCGCTCGGTTTGACCAAAGGATCAATGCTCCTCCAATATCGACGCATCTTCCCGACCAAGAAGTTCCAGCTCGCGAACTGGCTCACGATGGCCGTTGTCGTCGCCTACACCATCTGGACAGTCTTCTCCAGTATCTTCACCTGCACACCCGTACGAGCTTTTTGGACTCACGAGAAGTCTACCTGTCTTAACCAATTCGCCGTTTGGTTCACGAACGCCGCCATCAACATCCTTACCGATTTCGCGATCATCCTTCTTCCTATTCCGGTCATCCAGAAGTTAAATCTCGGGAAGAGGCAGAAGATTGGACTCATATCCATCTTCGCAGTTGGCGGATTGTGAGTATTCCTCCCTGCTGTTACCTTGTTTTGTCCATTCGGGCCGTCCTGCGAGCGCCTGATGTCTGTTACAAGGTGTAACACGAAGCTCACTCGATTTTCGCACGGTGCATCACTGTACCACCGGCTCTTCTCGTGATGAGTTACTCAGCGGGCATACCCCTACCATCAACTGTTACAAAGAGGTCACACTAACGCGCGATCCTGCAGTGTCTGCCTAGTCTCAATTCTCCGTCTACAATCTCTCGTCGCGATCTCGAACTCGGCTGATCCTAGTTACGACAACCCGCCTGCGGCGACATGGAGCTCCGTTGAGACCAACGTCGGCATTATTTGCGCCTGCCTGCCGTTGCTCAGGCCTTTGATCACACATTGGCTTCCAAGGGCGTTCCCGTCAAGACACCGCAGCGCATATTCCCACTCTCGCCCACAGGGCGCTCGTACCTACGGAAGCAGGGGTGGCAGTAAAGCGCTGCGTACCAAAGACGATTACGTTCTAGACGTAACAAAGCGCTCGAATGGCTCGAGCGAGGACGCAAGAGACATCCAAGTCGTTACGGACATTCACGTAGAGGTGGATGGTGCCGATGGAAGGAGGCTGAGCGGCTGGAGAACGCCCGCTTCGCAGGCCACCTGGGCGGACGATATATCCCGCAAGGAAACACAAAGGGAGAACAGCACCGAGATGCTGGTAGACGAAAATCCGCGTGTGTCGAGGTAGATCCGAGACTTTTCTTTTGTTCAGGCCACACACTTTAACATCACTTTGTTACGATACCCCATGACCTACCTACTATTAATAGAGAGTAATTCGACTCTTGTAATGCCCTTATTCTTATCGCTTTGTAATTATTTTACTATCCTCACGACTGTGCGCGTGAGCGTCACTTTCTCATACTCAACCGCTACCCACCGGAACCTCGGTCCTGGCCAAAAAGACGCTCTCTCGCCCAAGTGTCCCATTTCTTTCTACTTTCAATCATGACCAGAGGTATCTGTTCGCGTCGTCTTTGTGAGAGCCATGACCTATCCCCTATGCAGGCCGTTCTTCCCACGACGCCTTGTGCTCATCCAATCACATCTTCCTGGATGGTCAACCGTCCGATTCAAGCCAGCGCCTTCGGGAAAAGAAGCGTACTGATCTAATCGAAGCTTTTGGGCTGTTGTGTTGACTTCCATTTCGCCCAGATGCTACGTGTTTGGCGAATATTGTGGCGTGGAAGTCATGCAAGCAACAAACACCTCGCTGAGCACGTTGATGTACATATATCGCTGCGCAGTACTACGCCGGGGTCACTATATTCCTATATTACCTACACTATAGCTTTAGAGAACCTTTCGCAATATATACCTTGCGTCATTAAGAGGAGGAGTCGCAAGCATAAGGAACTCCGCCAAGCCCGTGCGTGATGGTCGCACAAGCCCATTCACGTGCATTCACTCGCAGGTACGATTAGTGTGGAGCTTGTGTAGTCCGTGCTACAGCTGACACTACCATCTACTTAACCCAGGGGTACTTTCAGCCTCCGAGCGATGGGCCACCACCACTTCTCGCAGGCGCGCATTTACTCTACCAGTAACTGCAGCTTTGCACAGCTAACAAGCGCGGCGGTTCCATCTCCACTATCGACATACAGGCTGTCTGTATGGTATACGGAGCCCGTATCCACGCCACAAAGGTACCAGCAGTCGCTATGGCGCCCGCTGCTGCGGTCACAAGCGACGATCGCGCATCATCCGCTCATCCAAGGTCAGTGATTGCCTTTTCCGACTATATGATATATCCCCTGACTCTTCCCAGTGAGCGTGCACGATACGCAGGCCAGGCTATCCAAACGTCTATGTCGTACTGGTCTGCAACTACGTACACATCCGTCGCCCCAAGTACACGGGCGCCGACTATGTCGCGCCGCTCATTCGCTGCTTCCGATTCGTCCCAAGTGCGAGCTTTGAACGATTGCCAGTCGCGCGGCCCCCATACCTTACAGCCTGAGGTACTTGGATCTGAGTTTCACGCCGAACATTCGACCACCATGGGCCCTCAGTGGCTCCAGCAGCGGGCCAAGGTCGATGGATGCTCGACCACCGTCAATGCTACTGGCCAAGCATCGCTCGCTGAGAAGTTCGCTGTCTTCGTGACCTGCGCGTTCTTTGTACTATGGATAGTACGATCTGCCGCTGAGAGCATCTTTACTCTTGTTCCCTTTGCCGGCCCGGTATGGTTGGTGTTCGGTGGGTTCCAGATACTTGAGCAGCAACAGCAGTCAGCTCAGCCGGCGCCGATCATAGACGATGACGCGTCTTGCGATGTTTGTACTACTGGATACATCCTGCCCTTGATTGAGGCAATGATGCTCGACCGACAGACCGCTCATGAAGAGTCGAAAGTGCCACAGTGGTTAGCCAGCTTTCGGGATATGTCTGCAGGCAGCGACGAGTGGATGTCGTCGCTTGGAAACGAAGAGAATCTGCCTCTCGTTACCGCTGTCGCACCAAGTGCTCAAGGTCCTACGGGGATGTTCCACACTACCGAACCCCAGTGCGAAAATATCGGAGACGAAGACGCTGTCGAAGCTGCTTGCTCCAGCGGTGACCAGATAGCAGCACTTCAGCGTCAGCATGGCAACCTTGTCTTCAACGACACTGATCAGTGGGTCCCGGGTGGTCGACTTTACGACCAACGCATAGCCAATCATCTTGAGCCTATCTTCATTGATGGTGATGGTCAGACATACGAGGATGTGGACGGCTGGTTTGGACGACCTGTCAAGGCAGATGCGCTGGACATCCGCTTCCTACTACAGGCTTTGGCGCCGCATCTTTCCGACGATCTGAAAGCCGCGATTGGAGCCCAGTCTTTGGACACACTCATCAAGACGCGCGCACAGAATGGCGAGAATGCCCTCCTCCAGGAACTCGAAAAGTGTTGGTACATCATGTGCCCCGGTACTGTCGTCGCGCCTGGTGCGCCCATCAAGACATTGCAAGACATCAAGAGCATCATCGAGGGGAATCGGAGGAAATTCACCCCTGCATGTCACCTTGATGTACGCCATTATGTGGGACTAGATCACCCTTGCCGACCATATCTCACGGAATATGAAGAGATGGCGATCAACGAAGGCATCGCAGACTACAACATGCGTAACTGGAGCATCGACTTCGAACCCTCATTCATTCGTGAAGCCACGAAGGACAAGTCAGAGCACGCCTTGCTCGAAAGCTACGAGCAGATTCCTGATTGGATGGAAGATATTGACCAAGGCGACCTACTTGATCCAAATGCTTTCCACGAGTGTCCATGCGGACAGGTCGCGATGTCGACGCTCGGTAGCTACCGCGACGAAAAGGAGCATAACTACAAGGAAATGAAGGGCTTTGAATCGGCCTTCCCGATCGAAGTCCTCGACGGTAGTGAGCTTCACGATGCCATGGCTGACCTGGTTCAGTTCCCGGATTATCCCGAGCATGCGACACCGCCTCGTTCCCAGAAGATTGTCCAGAACTGCGAGCTACACAAGACGATCACCAAGAACATCTTCGTTCTAGTCGACACATCAGCCGAGGACATCAACGAGCGCATCAGCCATCCTGGTGGTTTACTTCCTGCTCCAGGAATTACATCCTCGTCTTACCCTCCTGGCTTCCAGACTACTATTGGTTTCTCGGAGATTCCCTACCGTCTGCTCGCCCCTCGATGTGAGCACGGTCGCTTGCATCAGCTTGAGTTTACGCCTCAGACGATGGCGAGCAGGATGATGAACACGAGTCAGATCGGCTGTACGCACTGCTTTCCGCACGGCCACATTGTTACTCGATGCCAGGAGTGTCTAGAGCATTGCTATGCTCTGGCTGCGCCGCACGGCATGCGAGGACAGCTCGACGCCGCACATCATCCGACAGTAGGCTCTGTTCAAGAGCAACACCAGGGCCATGACTTGGCACAAAATGTGCAGTCTAGGCGGGCAAAAGCCTTGATCGCTGGTGCTGCGCGCGCTACTATTCATCCACCCGGTATGTTCTTTCTTGGTCCTCTTGTTAGATCTCCGGCTGACCTCAAACCTGCAGGCCGACAGCATTATGCCAACTTCCCCATTAACCCAGATTTCGAGGCTGCGATGCAGCGCGCCAACTGGGAATGAGCCTTTGAACTTGCCCGTTCTGGGAGCGAGTTTGTACTATTATCACCCATGGCTTTCCTTTATCCGCTGTTTTGATCGAGATCGTGGACGGTCTCGAATGCACTCATTCCTCTTGATTTGTTCGGCGTTTGATACCCGGTTTGCTGTTCTATCAACACCATCTCTGTTTGCTCATATTAGCCATATAATGCGCATATCCCACTTGTATGTTAGCCATATAATGCGTATACCAAACTCGCAAGCCATCAGTCTTATTGGCTTCAATTCACTTATATACTAAATAATGCCCCATCGCTGTGAATAGTTCGATCCACTTCGCAACTATGCTTAGGCTGTGCGAGCAGTTGCTTTCACTGGACGATAATGTCGGGTTCTCGCGAGCAGCACTGCCCATTTGGATGCCCCGAGTCGTTCATTCACCATAGTCTGTGCTGCTCCCGGAGCTATCCCTAGCGTGGCTCCTGGTTGCGCCTTTGCGACTCAACCCTCGCTCGGTATATATGTCCACGGTCGAGCTGCAGAGTTTACCTCATCACCACTACACCACACCCTTTATTTCAACCCACATCAACTCACAGCACCAAGTACACTCGCCTGAAACTCACTGCATTCACACCAAAAGGGCCTCAGCCGCGTAGTTGGGCTATCCGCTCCGCCGGCATCAGTCTCAACCGCCCCCTTATACTATTGCCGCAAGCGCTGGCCCAGGCGAAGTGCACCCACAGGTTTCTCAACCGTCTGCTTACCTTTACACCGGCTGCGACAAAGGAAGACCCCATTGTGCAGATTGCCAGGATATCAGGCATTGCCAGGTTAGTTTCATCTGATGCGTTCAATGCAGACCAAATGCTAAATCACTGCAGTCAAACCATGCAGTCACTCGACAAGCTCTTCCCACCCATTATAATGGTCACATCACCGTCGTCTGCCGCGGATACGTCCTCAACATCTGCAAACATCGAAAGCGTACTGCGTACCTCCGCGACTTCGAAGCTCCATGTTGAGATGGTTGAAGACGAGGATGACGAAGACTGCGAGTGCCCTGCTTATATCAAGTCGCTGGGTCCGAAGTTCCGCGGAGTAGAAGAACTCGTCAGCCATCCCAAGGCAGACAACCATGGCTTTGGCTCGGCGAGCCGCATGGCGTCATCATCTGTAAGCTCCAGTTTCGACTATGAGGGTGAGTACGAAGACTACAAGTATACCCACGGGATTCTCGAAGAAATGGGCGTTGAATGCGAAGAACTGGCTATCATTGCATACACCCTCGCTTACTTTAGTGCCGAGATACCCGATGGTGGCCAAATGATCATGGCATTGTTCCATGATGCGTATACGAAACACCAGACGGGCCATCCAGCTTTCCATGGTGACAAAGTCAGCGACGAGGTTCAACAGCACTTCTTGGACCTAGCATGCGATGTGTCCAAACACAAGCCACACCTGCATCTTCTCGCAAGGAAACTCGAATCTGTTGTGGATGAGGAAGAGCCTCGCCTGAACATTGGTTGTTCTGAGCATCCTCGGCAGTTCCCAGCGGTGTGGAACGAAGACTTCGACGAAATTCCTTTGCCTCTTGGAGAAGGACAGGTCATTGTTGGACTAGTTCGCTCCGGTACTCAGCGCAAGATCATCTACGAGACGATGAAAGTGCGCAAAGACATGCCGGCCGACCCGATGGCGTTTTCCCCTTGCCAAAAGGGCATCGAAGCAGCCCGCGAGCTCGCGAATTACCAGAACGACGATGAGCAGATTCGCAGAAGTACACCAATCCCTGACTGCGACCGGCCTTGTTTTGAGGGAGGATTACGACTAGACGATGTACCAAAAGCAAAGTGGGATTACCTTCACGATTTTCCAGGCGAGAACGATGGATTCGTTCAAGGTACCCTGGATAGACTGGAGAAGCTACGCGCTGAACCGGAACGCTATGATCAACTAGTCGCAACCGATTCCCACGAGTATGAGCCCGGCAGTATCCTTGGAGATCGGCAAGGTCTTGAAGAAAGCATGATCGTTGGACTGTGGAATGACTTGTACCACGAAGAAGAGTGTGACACCGAGGCACTACGCGATCAGGGGCTACTTAATCCCGAAGACGACTTTGGCGACAACCCGGAGTACCTGAAGGCGAAGAAGCTGTGGTGGGAGCAGAAGATGGGCATCCGCGGCACTGAAGCTATTGTCCGGTATCACATGAAGCACATTCGCGCTCGGCGGCGCCCGAATCGAGCTGCATACTTTTTGACCGAGGAAGACGATGCCACTCTGAACCGTACTTCGCCAGAATACCCAGCATCGCGTGCTAAGCCCGAAAACGTTCCTGAAGGACATCGATTCTACGACGAACTTCATGAGAGCCCGGTGGATTGGACGGCAAAGTCTGAGTGCTGGATTCGGCTGTGGCGTCTCTCGGTTGCCAACATCATCGCACACGACGACTTCGACGAGGAATGTCGCGAGGCTGAAGATGCGCTCGTGGATTACCAGGACAGCCGCGAACCAGGCTGTGAAGCACACGAAGAGCCAGAAGAATTTGCACGCCCCCTACTTGCGGGGCGCCGTGTCCCAACTTTAGCTGCGCTGGAGCGGAAACGCCGCGATTCGGCTGTTGAGCTGAAAAGCAAGACTTCTCCTGCTGGCGAGATTCCACGAGTTCAGCGTACGCCCGGCAGCATTCCAGCGGCTCAAGTAATGGCCAAAGACAACGCTTGTGTATCTAACGCCGCAGCTCATGTGCCAAGAGGTCTTATAGAGCATATTAAGGGAACTCGCGGCGAGGAAGTAGATGATGCCGCTGACGCGGTAGGCAATGCGCCTTCTCCTAAGTTCCTTAAGGCGTTCCTAATGAAGAAGAAGAAGGTTGGTACACCTTCTCCTAAATTTCTCAAGGCATTCTTGAAGAAAAAGGCCTTCATGGGTGCTATCAAGTCTAGCATCCAAGTTCCGCCTGGCATTCTCGCCGACTATTCGGCAGTTGAGGATGAACTTTGTGATCAAGAATCAGGCATGCCCTGTAACCTGATACAAAATAATGCACCCGGTCTTGTCCCTATCCAGGGACGCGTCTGGGTACGCTCATCGAACCCCGAGGTGAGCCGTGAACAAAATCGCGAACAGCAGGAGACCGCTGTCCGCGATCATACGGTCCTTTCGCGACCGAGAAATGATGCCGAGAACTGGTTGATGCATTTACTGCATCTGCCCGTCACCAAGGCTAATTCCATGCTCCGCCCCTAAAAAGGGACAAGGAGTATCCGCTAGTATTGGCCCACACGCGCGTCGAAATTAGCCACTGCACTTTCCCAGCGCAAGATGTATCCGAATAAGACTGTGGGAGGCCTAGACGAAGGGTGGGAGAGGAGGCGTGTTCGCGCTGTCGGCGCTGAGCTCGTGAGGGGCAGGACTCAGAGCTGGAGGTTCGGATGCGGGCTAAGCTCTGCTTCGAGCAAGATGTAGTATCGCGAGACGTGTGCTATATCGAACATGTATATATAAGTACCTGGTTAGACGGAGGAGATTGGAGATGTGACAGTGTGATGGACGACGCGATCGAGACGCGTTGGCTGGAAATCGCGAAGTCCCGAAGATACTAGGCAATAGAACACGAAAGTTAAATTCGCTAAGGAAGTGTGGCGCTCTGTTTTCCTGGTTGTGCTGTTGTGAGTGCATTTGCATGCGGACCGGAGTGAAGACAGAGTTGTCGTGACTGAGGTTTGGGACGAGAGCTGAGTGTCGCGCTAGCCGGAATGAGCCACGTGATGACGTAGCTTGATTCCGCTGCTTACCCGTAGCCACAAATCAAGCCTTCTCCGCAAAGCTTGACACGCCATCTCGTCTCCACTCAGTACGGGTGTGAGTGTCGGTAACTATTCATCATCCGTATGCTTTCGCCCCTCTCCGTAATGGGGTCCATCACATATACGCAGCCACCCTGTGTTGTGGACTGCAGAGTCAAGTCCTACTGCCACAACTGCCTCCATTTTCAGCTACACTGTTGGTCAATATTGAGGTCTCATCACAGGTCCTTGTTGCCTCCCGCGATGGACTTTGGTCCCGGCTCGTTCCGGCACTACATCAAAAACGCGCGGTGTGCATGGAAGCGCTTCGGGAATAGCAGATCAGACTACTAAGGATGAACTGTGAGTAAGCTAACGCAGTCAGCTCAGAAGCTCGCCGGTGGCTGCAAAGTCACCATTGCTCAAAGGTTCAAGTTCGGAGAGCAAAGAAAGCATCTACTTCGAGTTTTTCAAAACCACAAACCACAATGCCTAGGTAGGTACCGAGTTCGTCTCCGGAGAAAAACAATGATGCAAGACTGAGAGCATTACGCGGTCACCACCGTCACGATCAACAAGATGGGAGTAATTCAAGATCCGAGCAAATCAGACCCCTGTCGTGAACTCGTGGTCAGCCTCATGCTCCGCAGCCAATCTTCAGTCAGCCTCGAACCACTAGGCCGACGGCAGTTGGTGAGCATCCCCCGGAAAAGCTACAACCCCAGCTATAGACAAGACAATATAGCCAGAATGGGTAAGCTTGATCGAATATTCCATGCACCATACCGTTCATCGCCGCATGCATGCCAGGGCTGCGTACCCGTCACCTTAGTATTCTCAATAGTCATGATGTCGCTTTAGGTGACGTATGCCTGGTGGAGTCAGTGGTGAAGGCATTGGGGTGGTACGATTTTACTGTCGCCCAGTTGTGTATAAAAAGGAGGCTAAGCCGTCTATCTATTCTGCAGTTGCACGGTGAGTTGGCACTGCAACGAGCAATTCCTTTCCAAAATGCTCTATTCCTCATCCGCCGCGTTCCTCTACTCCCTGGCAGGTCTTGCCAATGGCCTACCCGCACCAGCACCTCAGGCGTCAGGAGTCTCTGGCGGCTCATCGGTGCCAGGCCCTGTCGATCCCTCGCAAGTCCTGAACATGCCACTACCGTCATCGGCATCAGGCTCGTTGCGCGGTTCGGATGACTTACAAGGGTACAACCCTTCCAACCCAGTCGACATGAAGTCTACAGTCATCCCACCTGAGGACTTCGAGCTCGCACCTGGGCAGTCAGAAGACGAGGATTTGGGATTGTATATTGATCTCACGAATGTGAAGAACCCGCAGCCGATCCGCGGAGGTACTACAGGACCGACTGAACCTGGTCCACGGTAAGTTCATGGACATGCCCATAGACTGTGCTGTGGCTGATACGTTGATGCAGTACTCCAGCATATGATCGTCTAAATAGCGACATCTACGCTCCTCCCGGCTCCGATATGGGAGAGGTAAGCAACGCAAAATGGCCATTCGGTCTTAGCCATAACCGCCACGGCCTTGCAGGCGCAGGATGGGCACGATCGCAAAACACCGATCAACTGCCCTCTTCCGTCGCAATGGCCGGAACAAACATGCGACTAAGCCCCCATGCCTACCGCGAGCTCCACTGGCACAAGCAAGGAGAATGGGCATACATGTACATCTCTCCCCCTTCCCTGCCCCAACAAAGCTAACCAAACATCCCCAGGTTAAACGGTAGCGTGCGTATCGCCTCCATGAACGAAGCAGGCCAAACCTTCGTCGACGACGTCCAAGAAGGCGACGTGTGGTTCTTCCCGCCCGGCATCCCGCACTCCATCCAAGCCTTCGAAAACGGCTGCGAATTCCTGCTCATCTTCAACGACGGCTCCTTCAGCGAAGAAAACACCTTCCTCCTCTCCGAGCTCATGCTGCGGAACCCAGAGTCCGTGGTAGCCAAGAACTTTCGCACGAGTGTCAAAACAGTGCAGAACATGCCCCAGGAACAGTTGTGGATCTTCCCCGGTACCCCCGCGCCAAAGAACATCTCAGAGCAGAACGTAACGGGCCCCGCGGGCTTGATACCAAAAGAAGGCGCATATTCCTACCACTGGAGCCAACAAGCCCCCGCCCGCGTCCCCGGCGGCACCATCAAGATCCTCGACCCCTCCACCTTCCCCATCGCATCCACCTTCTCCGCCGCCCTCATCACCGTCGAACCCGGCGCCATGCGCGAAATGCACTGGCACACCACCTCAGACGAATGGTCGTACTTCATCGCCGGCTCCGCCCGCCTCACCGTCTACGAAGCACCAGCCGCATCTCGCACATTCGACTTTACGGCTGGTGATGTCGGGTACGTGCCTGTGCCTAATCCGCATTATCTTGAGAATACGGGGAACGAGACACTGGTTTATTTGGAGGTGTTGCAGAGTAGTCAGTATAGCGATATTAGTGTTAATCAGTGGTTGGGGATTACGCCGAGGCAGATTGTTAAGGATCATTTGAATGTGGGGGATGGGTTTTTGGATGGGTTGACGAAGGATCATGGGTTTGTGGTGCAGGGGGATAGGGATTTGGGGACGACGGATTTTACGCCGGGGGATCATGGGGGTGCGTAGTTGTGGGTGCTGGTGTGTCCATGAAGTCTGGGATGGATCCGGTCTCATAGCTTGATACTTATAGTGTAATAAATATACCGAGCTTCCTTCTCTGTGAACTCCCACTCCTCGCCAAACTACCCCATGCATCTACCCCAACCTCTCCCTACACAACCCCACCGCCACATCCGCCGTCGCCCCATCAAAAAAGTCATTAAGTATCACAACAACCCCCTCTTCCCCCATCAACTTCCTCCCCACATCCCCCTTTAGTAACGGCAGAATCTTATGATCACACACGGGTTTCGTGGCTAAGATCGGGCTCGTACTAACATCGGAATCAAGCACACTAGCAATAATCACATCCCTGATATTCGTTGCTGTGGCCTGACACTGCAGCAGTGTAACAGGGTGGCCTCTAGGTGGGTCTTCACACATGGAAGACAGTTTCTCGACCATCGAGTCACCAGTTAGAGTAGCATTTGCAGCGTCATCGTAGTTTGAGGCTTGGCCGCAGTCTTTTAGGATGATGAGGCGGGTATTCGATTCGCGGAGGTCGTGGATGGTTTTGTGCATCATATCCTCCTGGTTCCCCGCTTTAAGATCTTTCTCACGCAGGATATCGTTGAGCGCATCTCGTAGTTCGTCGTCGTTAGGCCGGGGACAGTCGCCTGGTACGCCATCCCACCGGTTATGCACAACGATGATTTCGTCTTTGTGGTCGACTAGGAAACGCGTGATGTGGTCGAGTAACACACGATATGGCATCCCTGGTATGGCGCCATGTTGGAAATACCATGTATCATCCAGGGGACTGACTTTCTGCATCTGACGGTGGCATTTCGCGGGTCGGAACTCGAAGTAACGCGCCCCGATCTTGAGGATGGTGTCGAGGGTGTCTTTCTGTGTGATGGCTAGCGCGCGGATGATGTCTGGTGCGATCCGGTTTATGGCGCCGTCGCCGACTTTGTTGATGATGGTGAGGGCGTGGGGGAGACTGCGGCCGAGGACCTCTTTTATGATGCCTGTGCCGGCGTTTTTGAGGAGCGAGAGACTGCTCGACATGTTGTTCATGCCGATGTCGTGGGCGGAGGGGAGGACCATTTTGTGGAAGGGGTGATTGGATTTGTCTGAGCCTTGGGGAATGACGTCGCGCATCCAGTTCTCGTAGTTCTTTGTGACGGTGACATAGCACTGGTGTTGCTTTGGTAGCTCGGCGAGACCTGGTCCGGCGTCGTAGAATCCGTATGTGATGATGAGGTCGTTGGCGAAGATACTGGGTGTTTGTTCCATGTTGACCATTGACCCGTCTTCCAACTTGCCTGTCATGCTGTTGATTGCGACCCATTGTTTTGTGAGCTCGCGGCCATCCTGGCGAACGATGAAATCGAAGTTTCCGATGAACTTGAAATGGGGTAGGTTGGATGACTCTACTTCGAGATGGTCGTGGAGGAATTGGTGTTGATCACCTCTTTTGACATTGCCCTTTGGTACCGTGTACTCAACCTCGACTCCATCCACTGCGATGTAGGTGAAACATCTGACCCCTTTGGATAGCATGTTCAACTCTGTCCTTCTCTTCTAAATAGTCGTTCAAGTATATCGTTCGCACTAGGTGCCCGACCTTAGCGGGTCTATGCCGGGGGGATCAGAGATGTGCAGCATTTTGAGCTAGGGAAGCGGGGCATCATCTCATATAGCACAAAGCGGGTGATCCGTCAGCCACGCGTTTTCAGCTCTGTCTAGACTCTACGGGTCGTTAGCGGTGGCTTAGCTGTGGTGTTGAAGTGGGGGATGCCGCTGGGCGCACCAATTAGGCCCAGCAACCATGGCACGCTACTCGGGCCGACGCCAACCTTGTAGAGCTGAATACCCCTTGACGATTGTTTTTGCAATTACAGAAAAAAAACTTAGATCCAGCAGCTCAGAAATTGGGGGGCTCTTGTTCTTTTCGCTGCACATTAATAATCGCGGTCTTGCGAATGATGACTGTTGAGCTACCCCGAACCTCTACAGACCATAGGTAATAGAAGGTAGTATTTTACCTCTGAAATGATGAAGTCAATCAAATGAACAATGAGTTCAGACGTATTAAGGTTACGCTCACTTGTTGTGACGATATCGACACGAACGACAGGAGAATCCCGCGCAATTGTCATAACGTCGATACAGTTTGACGCCTCTGCCAATAAGCCAAGGGTAGCATCGTATGTATATCCATCTCATGGCCGACCGGAATGAGCCTAAACGGAACATTGAGGCCTCGAAGTTCACCTGAAACGGGGTACATGTTGGGACTGGGCAGTCTTTTCTTGCCGTCAGGCGAGAACTTAGATGTCTTCAGGCTATATTCGGATGTACAGGTGAAGGAGCAAGGCCATAATGTTCACCAGCTTTTACCGGCAAACCGGGCACCGCGGGCCGTTGTTCGCCAGATATGCAGGCGAAGATGCACCTTTCTGTTGGATCTGCATCGCCGGCATGGAAGTATATGCACCGAGAGGGCGGAAGACCCAATAATGTTCAGACGGAGCAGCTAAGCGGGCTGTAAGAGAGTCGAGGTGAAACAAGCTATGTGTTTCAGTGGTGGTGGGTGATGCGTGGATGCTGGCAGGTGTTGGTGGGGCAATGAGCTGTTGCCCCTCACCCCAGGGCTCTCGTTGCGAGCACCTCCCTTCTAGACCAAGTAGCTCCATACCGCCTGCTGCCATTAGTGTGAGCTGTCCCCAATTGATTTCCTGCCATTCCACCATCTAATTCCCAATTGCAGCTCGAGCAATCAATCAAACCCGCAAACAAGCCGCTTCGAGTTATACAATAGATACCCCACCATCACCTCGAGCTACAGCAACAACACATCGTCATCATGGTCGACCGTGCGAACCGCCCATCAGCGCTGAACGCGCCTACCGCGTCTGCACCCGGCCCCCAGGTCGACATTGTCGGAGAGGGTGGCAGCCAGAAGGTCGTCGCGAGACTGCCGTCTGGCGAGAGCGTCGAGGTGCTGCTCTTTGGAGCCACTGTTACTAGCTGGAAGAGCAGCGGCGGAAAGACTGAGAACCTCTGGTTGAGCGATGCGGCTGATCTGACTGGCAAGAAGCCCGTACGCGGTGGCATTCCCGTTGTGTTCCCCGTCTTCGGTCCTCCTCCCAAGGAGGGCCACGCCACTTCGTCGCTTCCACAACACGGTTTCGCGCGTGGATCGCGCTGGGAGTACATGGGCAAGTCGACTGCGGAGGATGCTCTCGACTCCAACTCGGTCAAGCTCGACTTTGGCCTCGACCGCCAGTCGCTCAGCGAGGAGTCGCGCAAGGCATGGCCACTGGACTTTGGCCTCGTATACAGCGTCACACTGAGCAAGGACAGCCTACAGGCCGTTCTCACTGTCCGCAACGAGGGCGAGGAGAGCTTCGAGTTCCAGTTCCTGCTCCACACCTACTTCAGGATTCAGGACGTGTCCAAGATCGCCATCACCGGCCTGTCTGGCACCGAGTACGTCGACAAGGTCCTCAACGCCTCTACCCACACCCAGAGCGACAACCAACTCAAGATCACCGGCGAGACAGATCGCGTCTACAAGGACATCAAGCAGGACACCACATCGATCACCGAAGACGGCAAGCCTCGCTTTGACGTCATCCGCGACAACGTCAAGGACACCGTGACGTGGAACCCGTGGATCGAGAAGGCAAAGGCCATGGGCGACTTCTCACCAGACGACGGCTACAAGAACATGGTCTGCGTCGAGATCGGTGCCGTGGACGGCTGGCAGAGGCTGGAGAAGGGCGAGGTCTGGGAGGGTGGTATGTTGGTCAAGAGCCACTTGTAGGAGACAAGAGCACGCCAACTTAGGAAAACCCTGAACAGCCTGGAGTCTACGTTGACGTTGGGTCACCTATTTTGCAAGTTTTTGTCTTGATGTAGTCTGCAGACCTGTTCAGGTTTTTCTTGTATGAGGCGGGAGGGGGATGAAACTGTGCATGGATCCGGTTTACTGATAGCCTGGAGACTGCCTAGGTAGAGCACCTGAAAATAATGATGAGTCTGGCCAGTCATTGTTGGTATGCACTTGCTATGAGACGGTGACAGACCCTTGCCAGCTGGGACGCCCTTGCCGTTCCACTCTCCCCACCAAAACCTGCGCGCCGTCCAAACAACACACGACACCATGACAACAGTCAGCGCTACCTGAGGAACACGGTCATGCCACTTCTACAAGACAGTCGCGAGGCCGTTCGCTACCCCTTCTGCTATCCGCTGTGGGCTATCGACTAAGGTCCCTGCCTATACCGCGCCTTCGTAGCTTCCCCGCACCGCACGAGGTGGTACGACCGCACATATCACATTCACATTTTCCATATTGAAGGCAGTTACGTCAGCTTGGTTGTTTACGTGGGCGACACGCTGTAGACCGCTGTCAGAGACGTTGCGCGCTCTTCCCAAGCCGACACCCATACGACAGGGCCGACGGTCGCAAGTCGCGCCAAAACATGTCGCTGATTCCCTACGCCCCGGCTGAGTCGCGGGAGATTGTGCTGTAGGTTCCTATGAGGATATACCATGCGACAACAATGACATAGTGATAACGAACTTCACAGGCGTCATGGTTCTGCTGTTGTCGTCTACGACCAGCGCTCGAAACAACTCTCCCTCCGCGATGCCTCCCACGCGACTGATATCGGCTCTACGTCATGCCCATACTGTCACCGATCCTACCGCGAACCATCACCGCATGACGAACATAACAGTGACGCGGAGGAACATACTGCGCCTGGCATACCTACCGAAAATGGCTTCGTCAATCCCGCATACTTCCAAATGCTGCGCCGGAGTCAGCCAGGATCAACAGAGGGATCACGACCCTCATCGCCACATAAACAACTCGCGCCTGCCCCTTTGCGCATGGGTAGCTTCGACCCGCCACCAGGTTCTGAGTTTGTGGGAAGCACACCGACTCAGCCAGCTAGAAGCCAGGGTATATCTGCCAGAGCCTTCAGTCCCAACTACTTCAAGGACTTCTTCATAGAAGAGCGGGAGCTGGGCAGAGGAGGCAAGGGTGTGGTCTTGCTGGTGCAGCATATCCTAGACGGCGTGCACCTGGGCAAGTTCGCTTGCAAGCGCGTGCCAGTCGGCGACGATCACGAATGGTTGGAGAAAGTCTTGATCGAAGTGCAACTACTGCAGACCCTGTCGCACGAGAACCTGGTATCATACCGGCATGTATGGCTGGAGGACTACCAGATATCCAGCTTTGGCCCAAGTGTACCGTGCGCGTTCATACTGCAACAGTACTGCAATGCTGGCGATCTCCACGACTATATTCTAGACTCTATGAAGACATCTGTAACCAAGGAGCAGATGAAGGAGCGACTCAGGAGGAGGTCCAAGGGCCAGCTGGAAGATCCAGAGGACGTGCATGGACCGCGTCGGATGCACTTCGAAGAGATCATATCCTTCTTCAAAGACATCACATCCGGGTTGAGTCACCTTCATGCCAACGGCTACATACATCGAGACCTGAAGCCTAGCAACTGCTTGCTCCATCGTACTGGCCGCAAGATCAAAGTTCTAGTTAGCGATTTCGGCGAAGTGCAGTCTGCGAACACAGCGAGAAATTCGACAGGAGCAACTGGAACCATCTCATACTGCGCCCCCGAAGTGCTTCGTCAAGAGCGACCTGGAGGTGCTTTTGGCAATTTCACAACCAAGTCTGACATCTTTTCGCTCGGTATGATCGTCTACTTCATGTGTTTTGCACGACTGCCATACCGAAACGCGGACGGTATCGATGAGGACAACGAGGACCTAGATCAGCTGAGGGCGGAGATCTCGACTTGGGCTGGTATCGACGACGAACAGCGGGTTCGCTCAGACTTGCCTGAAAAGCTATACAGATCGCTGAAGACGCTCCTCGCCATCAACCCCGATGAACGCCCAGGTGCAGAGGAAATCCTGAATGTCCTGAAATCACCACTGGTATTCGACGAGTACAACGCATATGCAGGCCCATCGGGTCTCGACGAGTTCAGTCCTCGTATATCGCGAGCCGACACGCCCAGCCCGTCACCTAACCAAGGTAACAAAAAGCGTACTTCGATCAACTACACACGGCCAGGTCGATCGCATCTCAGCGCAACTGTCATGGACCGCTCGCCTAGTCCGCCACGTCCGCAGCCGATGAGGAGGCAGTCTTCTGAGGACGGGGCGGTGATCTTGCGGAGGAAATTGGAGTTTCCGCCGCCCCCTTCTGGAGGGAGAACGCCATCACCGCAGCGTCTCATGCTCCCTCCACCACCGCCTGCGAGTGCATCATCAAGACTGTACAGACTGTCAAGGAACCCCGCTACCATTAGTACTACCAAGACTTTGCTGTTCTGCGCAAAGGCTTATAGTTTGCTGTCGCCTTGTCAGCCGTTTGCGGCGGACCCACGCGTCCTGTATCCGTTGTTGTGCATAGCATCACTCGACTTTTTGCATGCGGGTATATCAATCAGGGGGAGACCAGTCGACTTGGGTGGATTAGGACGCTCAGTAATACTTCTTCTGGCACACATGATGGCTGTGGGTGTTCTGTGGAGATGGAATCGACTTTGCGCAGGTCGAAGTGTTGCTTGGGATGGCATGTAACGGATGTTTGGGGACGGAGTACGGTTGTGACAGATCTGATTTATGATACCTCTATAGCACTGACACGAAGCAACGAAATCAACATAACACTTCTAAACGTCGCAGTTGGGTGCAGTGCCTTTCAATTCGAGTTGTTCGACGCGCCGCGCACGTTATGACGGGCGTCGGTGGCTGGGTGGGGCCTGGGTTCGTTAGCTTTGTTTTGGAGTAAACACGCTGACCCGCTTCGTCTTCCACACTCATCGCACTTTCCACTACAACGCGCCCCAAGACACCCCATCATACTTGGGCTGGAATTATTCTTGGAGGTAATGATATAGCTTCAGCAGCCTTTTCGAAGTATCTTTCTCATACCCTATTCACGTGTTTACTACGCGACGCGACCCTCGACAAGCTGCCCGCCGCAGCCTTACAATTTCGACATGCAGTCGTCTCCTCCCACAAGTGACGGGAAAGCGCGCGCTATTCGAGAGTTATCACGTAGCCTCAGCCACAGCCCCAGGAATATCACCTCGCCATCACCACCACCAAGCGACTCGAATCCCACGCAGCGCTCGGGCTTCGGCACCAACACGTCTCAGTTCTTTGACGACCCGGACATTCTCATGTCCACACAGCACAACATTGGCGAAGACACAAACACACTTCCAGCATACCCGCACATTCGGTCAACAGCCAAGAAGATGAACACCTGGGCTCCATTCCGCTCCCAGCAGGTCCAGCCGGACACATCCATGGTAAACAAGGAGTTCGGCGACTTTGACCACAGTATATCCGACGAGGAAAGCATGGCCGTCGAACAGGCACGAGGTAACCGCAGCAACCGCGGTACTCCCAGCAAGATGAGCTCTCAGTTTAACAGCCTTTACGACATCACACCCCCCACCAACCGGTCGCGCAAGTCATACCAGGCAGAGACTGGTAGCCTTCGACGCGACGCGGCGATCCGACGCGCCTCACGCAACGACCTCGATACTGCATCGCCGCGTCCTTCAAGCAAGCGCAACTCCCCCGCCCTCTCTACAAAGGAAGACCGCAAGCGTACTTCTCTCGCACAGCTGCACGCGAAGCTCTCGGAAGACGAGTCATCGTTCATGGAGCACCGGCCACCAACACTGACCATGGACTCGGCCAAGAACACGCGCTGGGGCAACAGGAGCCGACAGACCTCCCTCCAAACTGACGGCAACGTCGACCAGCCGCAATCAAAAGCTACATCCCGCTCCAGGCCGGCTACAGCACAGAACGCGACTGCGCAATCTTTTATTCTGCCCGACATCCCCAACCTTACCGAGCTTGTCTCTGGCGTCTTCGACGATGGCACACCAGTCTTTTCCAAGACCGCACCCTCAAGATCACGCTTCGCTGCTCCTCCATACGGTGGTCGCCGACCATCGCATATCCCAATCGATGGTGCGCCGATACCCGACGAAGAGAAGGCCATCTTCGCTGCCCTCCAGCAGCTACAGGAGAAGATTGCAGATATGGAGCGTGAGCGTGAGGAGAAGGACAAGAAGATGGATGAGCAGGAACTGGAGTTGATCGAGCTGAGAGCGACTACTCAAGCTCAAGAGAAACTGCGACGAAGCGACAGCGCGCAGGACTCTGATGCGGGCGGAAAGAGCGGCTGGAAGGTCGAGAAGACGCGTAAGTTTCTGTAAATATAGAAGAGTATGACTGTACTGACAATGACCAGGTCTTGACGCGACAGTACAAACCCTCCGAACCAAGCTTGATCGCGCCGACCGCAAATTTGCCGTACTCGAAATCGAGAAGAAACGCCTAAGCACCGAGCGCGACAACATGGCGAACCAGCTTGGGGTTGCCTTCCAGACCTGCGAAGAACTTAAGACCGAGAAGAACGCTTTGAGCCACGAGAACGAGCAGCTCCGCCAGGAGATTGACAACCTTCGCGAACAACTCGAACAAGACCAGTCACACCACCGCGAAGAGACAACTCAGCTTCGTCAGCAGTTCGACCAAGCCGCGAATGCAACCCAGAGGGAGAACGCCAACCTACATGCCGAGTTGGCTCGCGTACGCGCTCAACAGGACGAGAACACCCAGCAGTTGACTCGTAGGGACATGGAACTGCGAAAGGCGCGTCAAGAGCATGCTGAGTATGCTCGTTTGAAGTCCGACCACGAGTCGCTCAAGGCTCAATTGGCAGAATTCAAGGCGAAGCGCGAAGAGGAGGCTCAGCGCTGGTCTCGTCAAGAAGCTTCGTTGCGAGCTCAGGTTGGCCGACGCGACGACACCATCCGACACTTCGAGGATATGACACAGGAGCGTACCAACGAAGCCATGCGTCTGGACAATGAGAACCTTCGAAACGAGCTTCGCGAATTGCAAGCCCAGCAAGATGAGGAGAACGAGGAGTGGGCCAGGAAGGAGGCAGAGTTGCAGCGAAAGATTCGCCAGCGTGAGAATGCTCGAAAGGCTAGGGACAGCGAACAGCACCTTGACGATACCACCGGCCCCGTTTCAAGAACTAGGGATACGGACCACATCTTTGAAGACACCCTGCAACGCAAGCCTAGCTATCGCCGCGAAGACACACGTACGCGCATCAGGAACCGTGTCCAGCAGGAAGTCCGCAACAGCAAGGTCGCTGGAGTACCAAACCAAGAGAGCCCGCGGAAGTCGTTCACTGGACATTCGCGATTCTCAACCCGTAGCGTGTCGGCTCCTGTTCCTGCTGACAAGCACGCCCGCGCCGAGAGTGATGTGGAGTCGACGACCGATCTGTCTCTTGCGCCTCGCGCAACTCTTCGCATCTCACGAAACCCCACTTTGACGAGGCAGACCACGACCGTTCAGCCTCCTGCTGACCTAAGTCTGACAGAGTTGAGCTTCTTCCCCCAGGAGGAGATTGCTAGGCTTCGACGATCTCTGGAAGAACAGCGAGCTGCTGAGCGCCATGGTGCTTCATCTGCTAGAACTGAGGAGCCAGTGCGCGAGGATACCGTTCGATCGCAGCGCCAGACTCGTGAAGACACTGTCAGGTCAGTCGCTTCCGCTAAGAGCGAGCGACGGCCCTCCCTTGTGCGCAAATCATCGCTCAAGGATACCACTCAGCGCACCACCAACACTCATTTCGAGGAAGACACTGGCAATATGTCGAACTTGGACGCCGACGCTGAAGCCACCCAAACAAAGCAATCGGCCATCGACGCGTCCATGCTCAGCAACACCAGCCGCAGACGCCGCAGCGCTCCCACCGAAATGACATCCGCCTTCATCCTCCCCGACATCAAGCTCAGCACCGCAAACCAAACCACTACCTCCCGCAAACCCATCACCAAAGACCACGACAACGACAACTGCACCGTCTGCCGCCGCGAAGGCTACACCACAGCCACCGGTCCCCTCCGCGTCCCCAAACTCGTCTCTGTATCCACGCGCACAGCCGACGAACCCGACGCAACCCTCCGCCCAGCACAATCCCCGCGCGAAGCCCTCGCCCTCGTCGTCAAAGGCCTAAAAGACGAACGCGTCCACCTCTGGGCCGAGCTCGCCGTTCAAGGCGCCCTCCTCGAGCAGCACGACCCCAGCTTGGGTAAGCGCCGCCGCGACGCCCTCAACGCCTCGATCCAAGACCTGCACCGCCGCCTCGAATGGCTAGACATGCAGATCTACCGCCTCCACGACGTGCTCGAAGGCCAAAAAGCTGATGAGCTCACCGAAGCGGAATTTGACGACCTTACACAAGAAGTTCTTGTCCAACAGTCTGAACAAGAGCAAGACGATGCAAACACGGAGAAATCGGTGCCTACTGGTGGAAAGAAGAAGGCGAAGAAAGTTACGATTCGCAGCTTTGTTGATGAGGATGAGGATGAGAGTGTGGAGCTGAGGCGGAGCACCGCGCAACAGGATCACGGGGCGGAGGAGAGTGGGGATGAGACGCATGAACTTCCTTGGGAAGGGTTTGGTGAGGAGAGTATGGAGGGAGATGTTAGTTTTAATGCGTTGGAGGGGTGGAGGGCGAGTGTGCATTGAGTTTGTTTGTGAGAGAGGGGAGGGCTGGCTTTGAGTATTCTGTTTGATGAAAAGTAGGGTTGGGTGTTGCATTAGGGTGTTTTCTTTGGATATGGGCTTATTGGGTTGCGGGATTGCATTGTTATTGGGCATTGGGTATTGGCGTTTCTTTCTTCTCCTTCTCAAGCTGTATGAGAGGCGGTTTGGTTCTTTTCTTTCTCCTTTGGATGGTCATTCTCTTCTTGGCTGACTTCACTCTTCTTGTACACCTTCGACCGCTCGGCATCTGGCTTGGTATACACTTCTCGGTTCGTTCGGCTTGAGACCTCGACTCACCCTTTTTGGGTTCGAGTTGGTCTCGCTGGAAGAACAGGGATGTGTTTGTTGGTTCATATGCCGGGGGGTTGCAAGCTTTCAGAAGGGGTCCGTGGGATGTCTGGAATAGTCTGGATATGAAGAATTGAGTACATCAACTGCAAACATCTTGACTGAGAACATTCCTGAGTTGTACATTCATAACTCCGTCTTTCAATCCGCCTTGACTCAATCACTCCTCTAGACCGACGCGCTCGCATTTGTGCGAACGCCCACGATGTCTACAATCTCCTACCAAAAGTCCTGAGGTGACCTACTCCTCTGCCGCCGTATACGCAAACCCCTTGGAATATCTCCCTCAAACGCACCAGTAGCCTGCCATATACTCGGTCCCACGTTTCTAGCAGGCTCTTCCGACGAACTCCGCTCTTCGGTTTCGTTCTGTAAGTCGTCTTCGTCTTCCTCCTGGATGATGGGATTGATATAAATTCTTGCATGGGCATCTTCTAGGACATAGACGTCTGGCTCGGCTGGACGATGTCTATGTGGCACTGGACTCTGGCTGCTTAGCCGTATCCGGTTTGGCTGTGGACAGGAGGACGCCCGTCCTCTCCTTATCTTTCTTTCAGGTTTCGAGGGAGGTGGGGGTACGACAGGCGGAACCACCAGACTTGTTTGGGACGCTGCCTCTGTGGGGGTGTGTGAGTTCGAGATGGTGTGAGCTCCAGTATCGTTGCACCGTTTCCGATCAAATTCGCGTAGAATTTCCACTGCTTCCTCATACTCTTTTATGCGTGGGTCTTCTTCTGTAGGTTCAGGCGAAGTGGGAGGGGATTCTGGTGCTGACGCCTGATGGTACGAAGAGTGTGTAGACTGTGTAGGCGTGGTCGCAGTTGACCGGGACGTAATAGACGAGCTACCCTGATCCGATCGACGAACCCTTCGGTCGACTTTCTCTTGGACGACAACATTAGTGACGTATTGTGATACTGAATTTCCAAATTGTCGCAGTGATTTCGTCTGTGGAACGAAGTCTGGATCTTTGATCTTCTTTTCGTGTACTGCAACTTCTTTGATTGCTTCCTTCAAGACTGCTTTGATTTTGCTTCGCTGAGCGTGGCGCTTACGACTGATTGTGTCAGTGAAGCATTCACTCACGTCATTACAGGGCTTACATTTTATGTTGTGTTATCTCAATGCGCTTCTCCACTGTCATATTGTACAGCATCTCAACGCGTCGTTTTTCGGTCTTGGTCGAAGACAATACAGACTTGAGTTGAGCCAGATCCATGTTTAGCTTTTCGATAATGCGGATGTTTGTGAAACAAATCATGTTCTGTCGTGCCACGCCGAGGGAAGCACGGAGGTACTTCAGCGTGCCCTTGCTCCGAAGCCATACGATATGAGCAGTGAGAACCTCGATTGCGGAGTAATCGTCTTCAGGATTCCGTGCAACTGCCTGCACCTTGTCGAGTAGACTATCGAAACCTTGTACCGTCCGTGTAGTCCAAGAATTTAATTGTAGCTTTAGCTTCTGGGTGCGTTCCGAAATCGATGGATCTTCGTCGCACACATCCAAGAAGTCGTCGCATGTTCCAGCAAAGAGATCTATTTCCACAAAAACATCGGAAAGGTCGCCCCGCGCGTATCTGATGTCCTGGACTGTTTCTCGGAGCTTTCTGGCTGTCTTGAGGAGTACTGTCGATAAACCAATGATACCAATGGTCAGGCTGGCTGGATCCATATTGTCATGAGACACCAGGGGGGGTTGATTCTTATTTTTCCCAATCAATGAGCAATTATGTAGGTGAACGGAACGGAAAGAAAAACATAGATATGTCAAGATAATAAGACGGTGCAGAAAGAAGGGGAACGCGACAGAACCATTCGAACGTGCATATTGACCGGTGAACTGATGGCTGTATTGAGCCTGCACGCCTCTGCCAACCAGCGGCTAATGGCAGTCACCATCTTGGACATATGCATGCAGGGCAGGCGGGGTAATGACCCTGCCTCTCTACCGGCGCACTGAGGCAGACTCACCACGCCGGGTATAATTCTCATTTTCGCATCGATAGGCGCTGTTGCATATCGAAGGACGTGTGGGGGTGCGTCATGAAGGTGTTGGGCGTGGTTCATCCGCCGAAGCGTGGATTGAGTGCATGGCACAGCCGTGGTGATGGGAGAGACGCTGTCAGCCTTGCTGTCGGCCTTGCATTGCTTCATGAATACTGGGTATCGCTCTTCGAGATGAGTGAAGGAGATAGGAAACAAGAAAGCGGAAGTTGTGATGTTAAAGCTAGGATTAGTGGCTTGGCAGCTGGTGTACGGAAGGCGCTCTCCATAGAGAAGAGTATGCGCATTAAATTCGGTCCGCAGCCTAGCCTTGTCCGAGCGGCTCATTGAAGTCGTTGCTTGCTGTACGGATTGGCTGTATCAGCTTTGGAACAGTTAGTCATTCTCACAGCCATCAAATCAATGAAGAACTTTGAGATTCATGTCTCGATTGATACTACTCAGAGCCCTCGGCCCAAGCAGATCGCCACACAAGGTAGCCTACGTATGACCGAACCTCTCATATCCGAACCTAGGAAATCCACCAGTGCTCCTCCAGTAAAAGGCAAAGGGTATCATCCATCTTAGTCCTCCATCCGTAACGCCGTCGTAAAAGTCGTAAGGGATCCAAGCACGAAACCCAGATCCAGACCCATAATCCGTCATCAACATCCCCATATCATGTCCGTTTGACCGAAGAGAAGCGCAACTCACAAGCAACAGAACTGATCCATATCCCACCATCGCCATATCCAGCACATACAACCGACTCCCGCTCACCTCTCAGAATAGAACTGAACAAAGCGGAGAAAAGCGCATGCGTAGAAAATTGACTGGCAGAACGCTGAAGAAAGACATGTAGGAAGAAAAACTTACTGTGGATCGATTGCGTCGCATCTCGGAAACCAGCAAACAGCGATCCAGCACACAGCTCTTGTCTAGTTGAGACTCCCGTCATCCTTTCCTCTTGGATTAGCTCTTCACAGGTACCTCTGCTCCCTGTCGCCGCGCATCCTGAGGATGGGGCGCTCTGAGACAGGCTTCTGGCGAGGTTTGTAGATCTTTCGACCAGTGACGACAGCGATCGCGTTCGGGTTTGAGAGCTTGCGCTTGGCGGCATCGTCGTCACCGCTGTCGACGGCCCACTTGTTCGAGCGCTTCCTGGAACTGTCTCGCTTGGGGACCGTGATGTTGGAGCCGGGAGGACTGGGCAAGACGTACTGCTCTTCGACCGATTTGCCCTTGCCCTTAGGGCGATTGAACATGCGAATCGGGCTTGCAGACATGGTCATGGCAGCGGGTGGCTCGCGGCCAAGGGGTGTCATAGGAGAAGGCGTGCGCTGTGAGTTGGGGAGAAGGCGCGTCAGGCGCGAGCCACTGAACGAGGGAGGCGAGCCAGTGGGACTGGACTTGGCCATGCGACGGTTGGTGGGCGTAGTGAACGCGTTGTCGTCAGGCTCAGGGCTGGCCTCGTTGCGGACGGCACCGGTACTGGTGTCAGCAGCTAGTAGCAGTAGAACACAGGATGCGTTTGGGTTACCATGATAGTTGAGACCCTGATAATTTGCGGTACCACGATCGTTCTGCAGGTGAGGTGCAGTAGGGAGACCAGTGCCCGGAGCCGAATTGCGTCGGCTGCTGTCAGCATGACGGCCATTCCGACCAAGATACCCAGTGGAGCGCCTGGAGTTAGTTGGAGCCCCGATGTTGGTGAAACCAGTACCGGTGTTGGTGTTGAGTGCCGGACGTTCCCTAGCACGCTTGTCGTGGCGACTGGCTGCCTCATTGTGAGACACCATCTTGACCTTGACCTGACTCTATCAATTTAGCTTCCAAACCACGAAGATCCCGGGTATGCAAGGGGAACTCCGTACTCTGACCTGGTATATAGCTGCTGTTGCCAGTAAATGTGTTGTGCGCTGTAGAAAATTGTCGTTCGCGTCGAGGTGTTGTTGTGATGGCTCTATTGGGTGTTTATATACAAACGGACGCGGACGCGCTCGGGCCGGGCGACGAGAACTTTGCACCCCCGCATAGCGAAAAGTGTTTCGTGGTGAAGAAGACGAGGAGCGGGGAAGAAAGCGGTAGGGCTTGATGTGGACGTGATTCGCCTTCACTGTGAGGTGCGACGGTTGACTGGTAGCGTGGAGCGGTGAGACGCCGGCGGACATCCAGATGGTATATACATTTCCTGAGGTACGGTAGGAAGGGAGAGGAATAGCCTATAAAGAGCAACAGTAGGTCGTGGCCATATATAGGAACCTGTCCCACATGCAGACATCCGTTCATGTGACAGGTACGGCTGGTGAGTGCGATACTTATTGCATGTGCTGTACGAATTGACGGAAACAGCAACGAACAAGTAGAGAGAGTGATTTCATAGAGTTGTAAGGAAGAATAAAAGACATGAGACAACGACTGACATGAGAGTTGAGAAAGGCGAGAGATGAGAGGAAATGTCAGGTAATAGCATACAGTACCTCTAACATCGGCCTTAACTTATAAGATCGAAAAGATCATCCGACCAATCCTACACAAGAGTGACGAAGGAAATGATCCTAGTCACAAGCCTACTATGGAATTCAGAAGCAAGACACAAACGCCAACAGAAAGATCCAATCCCAGAACCAAACCGTAAAGCAGCCACATGCCTGGGGAATATGTAGCAATGTAGCCTTTATATGCGCCATATCAGCGCCGTGAACGTCCAGCCATGGAAGTAGAGTGAAGAAGAAAGGTCGTGGACAATACAAAGGAGACTGATAGCACCCGAAGAAGGGTTGCCTCAGATGTCTTCCATATTGCCCGCCGCTTCATCTTCATCGCCTGACTCGTAGCTGCCGACAGAGCTCATCTCGTCGTCATCGCCATCGTCTTTGTCGGAGTCTTCGGCGGTGTCCTTGTTGGCGTACTTCTGGACGTATTCTAGATGTACATTAGCCTGGCTCACACGACTCACCCTTATATACATACCCTTCACCTTAGCTTCGTAGCTCTTAGGTTCGCGCATAAGGAGTGCTGCAGCCTCGCCGTTCAAGGGATCGGTCGGGTTTGGGTATCGCAGGAGCTGAGGAAGGAAGACCTCGAAGATGTTGATCATGTCGTACATTGGTGACCATGTCTGGTTGATGACGTCGAGGCAGACGGAGCCAGAGCTGTACAAGTAAGCGGGTATTCTCCAATGTAGCCAGACAGAGGTATAGTTCGTACAGTTCGTCGATATTGGGGTGGAATATCCTGTTCACGAAGCCGATGCTAGGGCTCTTATACGGATACTGATCAGGCAACTCAACATGGATCTTCCAGAGCCCGCCCTCGAATGGCGCTGTCCTTCATTAGCACATGATGGTGCGCATGGCGCATGCGCAACTTACTTTCTACTGGGCCCTTAAACCTAACGTAGAACTCCTGCCTATGGTGTGTCAGCGTCGTTTCGGCGAAAGCGGATTCGGATGGTAGGAAGGACTGACACTACGGGGTGTTAGCTGTGTATCCGATAGGAATGGATGTGATGTTACTCACTATTGTCGTTGACCAGAGTCACCTCGTAGTCGCTCATGAGCCTGCCTTGTATCAGCTATCAGGGTTCGCCATGTGGTTGCCAGGCGCGTGGCGCGAAGGAGGCGGTAAATTGGTCGACATACATCCTGATGGCGTGTTAGCATTCTGTCTTACAACCGGAACCATGCGCAACATACTTCATGACCTGTTTGGTTGGAAAGAGGCCTCGGTTAGCTCTTGTCCTTTGCTCAGCAACCACCGGGGTGAAGGTCTCCACATACATCCGTCTCAATACGTCTCTTTGGCGAACTCATTCTGGCGTTCCTGATATCGCGACCTGTAAAGGATGCTGCTCTTCCCTAGTCTTCCGCTTCTCTTGAAGTTGTATACGACAGTGTGCAGCTCGCAGTGAGAGCTCTCGTGAGGTAGGCGGCGGGGCTATCGATAGCGGATGAGGGGCGCGTTCGTTGGCGGCTGGTGTGTGCTTTGTTGGCAGATTGTGGTTGTTTGAACCCTGGTAAGGATGTCGATCGGTGAATGTGTGTTGTTGTCGCGTCTATGGGGTCGGACGTGTCAAAGGGCAGGAACAGTGAGGCGGGAATGATGGTCGCGGTAGTCGCGATCACGAGCTCGATACCGGCATGTCACGCTTGCGCACGTCTCGCCGGGCAAGTCATCGCCGAGACCACGGCGCGACCGCGTATCTCTGCCTCATGCATTCATAACAGCACCGCTCTTCAGTCATCATGAATACCTTCTTCTACTATCACTGACTCTACCCAGGTGCTTACATGTCGATTCGCAAGCTGTGCAGATAAGACCTTGGGATGACTCTAAAGGCTACGTCACCGTGTGCCACGCGTAGCCATACAGATCCAGCACTTAAATCTACCAAGTATAACAAAACGCCCTGAAATGATCTACGGTGATGCACAAGAACAGCAGAAAGACTGAGATATACTCGCCGTGCATGAAGCGGGACGTTTCTTACCAAACGCAGACTGGCTGGTTCCCGACGGCTACCGCTTCCCTGATCTGACTTGACACTTCAGCGTAGATGGAACGAAGAAATCTTCAATTCCGTCTGAATCAACAAAGATTTTTTCGAAGCTTACGCCGACCGCACAGCTGAAGATAGTATAAATTCAATGCATACAGAGACTGAGGGTGCTGGAACCGACATCCAAT